TCGTGGAGGGAGATGTCGGGTGACTCTTCAAGCTGGTTCCTGGCCTTCAAGCAATATGAAACGAGTGGCAAGGCACGATGAAGTGTTTGAAATAATACTTTTTCTTTTTTGAAGAACGCCTCACGCCTACGCCTAACAGACAGCCAAAACAGAGCCAAACGGTAAGGAGTGACGTGTGCAATTCTTGGGATGTTACCGTAGATGAATCGTATACAAGCATTTTGCAGACGCTGTAGCCTCAGCTCCTGCTCAACCGTGAGATTCGTAAGCACAGCCACCGCGTAGTGTAGGTGTGGTAAAACCAGCGCCTGGACAAGTTGCTGGCGCAGATGACGGGTCAGAGAGTTTCGGTGGTAGCGCAGTGAGTAAAGTGAATAGTGAATTTTTGATGAAATGGATGAGATGTGAGAGTCCCAGTTCAGTGTTGAGTTGAGTACTACTCCAAGGATTTTGATTGCAGGTGAATATTCGAGCAAAGTACCAGCTACGTCTCGGTTGATAAATTACACGTGCTCTGATACTTTCCAGTTTTTCACTCCCTAGGTGCAAAATATACTATTTCGTTCTGTCTGCGGGATCGAAAAGATTAGTTACAGTTGTTGTGCTATCATGAAAACAATATCCTGCCCTTTCACATTATTTTTAATTTAAATATTTTTAATAGCGTATGTTAGGGATATGCGGATATCCAAAAAATTGGACTATCCGACATTTTTACCCAACCCAAATCCGAGCAAACACCCCGACTCTATCCAACCCGAATATTCCGGGACCCACCCAGCCCTAGTTTACGTAATGTACTATTTTATCACAGCATGCGGGAAGTATGTAATTCCCGAGCAGTACTGTAATAACGATACTTCTCGAAATTACATACTTCTCGCACGGCTGAGCGTGTGGGAAATAAAAACTTCCTGCAACTCGTGATAAAAAATAGTATACGTCACTCGTGTGCGTGGTGATTCTCGCCCTCGTCTCATTGTCACCCTCGCTGCGCTCGGGCGTCAAACTGAGACTCGTGCGAGAATCACCCACTTCGCGCACGAGTGACGTAATATACTATTACGTAATGTACGTAACGTATGCACTAAATTTATCTACTGTTTTATAGCAATGTTGAAGTAATCAATGCTCAGTTGTTACTGAATGAAGCCCGCTGGGTTCTTTAGATGTCTTACAGGCTGTGAGCATCAAGGAGGGCGCCACTGCTCTCCATGTTGTTTGTAACATTTGCTGCGGACATTTCTCCGTCCAGTCCCCATAAGTGAGCATGTTAAAAGCGATGGCATGCTACTTTTCGTGCATATAACGTATTGAATTTCACAACTTTCATAGATATTTACCGCCTATTTCTAAATTTCAATTGCTCGTCAACTGTATTGAGAATATCTCTTATTTCAGATCTTTTAGAATTTCTTTTTCATTCGTTAATCTGCTGCACGTTGGTATAATAGATAGTCCCACGTGTGTGAATAATGATCACTTTTGTGGGCGTGTTTTCGGGCAGGTGCAGCCTCAAAACTTTCTCTTTTTGTTTTCTAGAATTCGTCTTTTCGGCGTGGGATCAAAAACAAACACCACCTTCGTTTTTACTTTTATTATATTGAGCTTTTATCGTTCATCGCGTTTCAAGTAGTATACAAGTAAGTAGTAAAACTTAACTTTTCTCGCTACATCGATAGCTTTCGAATGGGAGCGAAGAAATATTGTAAGTTGAGAAATGTGAGTTTCTTGATGTACTAGTGCAACGCGAGAATCTCGCTCACGAATTAATAAACGCGATTGATCAGCTTGAAATCGATATATATATTTTTATATAATATATAGCTCCTAAGCGATAATTGAGACTGATTATAATTGACGTCACGTTTTTTTCCGTTTTCATCTCGAGTTTCGATCCGTCCATCGCGTCGCGCTCGTTATTCCATCAAACTACATATAAATGGGTGGCTTAAAAACTGTATTCATCGAAATAAACTTGACCATTTCGTGTCTTTTGATAGTTTATGCAGGTGCTATATATACATCCCTTGTACAGTAGCAGCATCTGTACAACAGCAGTTGCAGAAGCAGCTCTCGAATAATTCAGTCGTAATTCGAAGCTCTCATTATACTCACACAGAGTCCGCTACACGACCTTCGCAGCAACTTGGCGTCTGTGTATGTGCGATATACAGTACACACGCTGATATCCGCCAGACCCAAGGACAGAATTCGTGTCAATCAAGAACATACGTACATGCAGCCGGTATATTAAAGGGAGAACTGACCAGCACGCGGCGCAGCACATTTTACAGGCAACTGCTCGATCCGCTGAATATAAAATATGGTCTCGATTTGTTTCTTGTCAAAGCTCGGGAGTGTCTTGTTAAATTATTCCATTTTAGACGTATTCTGCTTCGTTCGATTAATTCAAGACCTTCATTAATCCGTCTAATTGCACTTTCAGTGTGAAAAAGTTTCATCTTTAAAATATAATCGTCACGTTTTCTACACTTTCCGCTTACTCTGTCATAATATATAAAAAAGGATAGTCTGGCTAGAAAGATTGAAGAAAATATCAAAAATTGCCTTAGATCGTACGATAAAAACCTCTGTGCAAAAAGATTCGAGCGAGCTTGAATACAGATTAGAGAAAAGTGGCGCTTGTACACGTGATAGGCGCTATCGTCATCGGTATGCTACCGGAGCGTTTATACGTTGCTCCAACAGTTCAAGAGTCTTCGTCGTCAAATTATTGGAAGTTTCACTGCACTACTTTTTTTTGTCGGAGCTAAAATACCGCTGGACTTTAGCGTCGCAGCAAATGCCGAAGGCCTTCTATAGAATTTACGGAGCTGAGAACTCACGATCTCGGACGATGACGGTAGCCCGAGACGAGACTTTAATGCAAAATTACGAAGAAAACAGGCGAGGACGGAGGGAAAAAAGTGTAAACCATCGATAAGTTCGAGAAAAAGATCGAAAAAAGCGTGTTACATCTTACAAAGTGGCCGAGATTTTTAAATGTAATGTTACCTTGTATATTTTACACATTACAATTGAATGACGTATCTACGAATATCTCAATTCCAAATTGAAAGCCTGATGAGGACGAAACAATTTTGACGAAACTCTGCAATGATAAATAAATATTGACTGCGACTCTTCATTTGTCGCTGACTATGATCCTGCCTAAGCCAGATCTTCATAGCAATTGCTAGATCATCACGCATTTTATACAAAGTAACGGCAGCATTGTGAATACTATGAGGGAATTGTTTTTACGTATCAACGAATTCCGGAAAGGGTAAATTTAAAAATCATTCGATACCCTACCATAGATTTGGTTAGCTAAAACAAACATGTAATTTTTTTAGCTAAAATTACGAAATGGATTGTATGTTTCGATGAACTAAGTCTTTTGGTGGATCTAATAATTAAACATCTACACCTTGTGTACATTTACTTAAATATCTCACAAACAACTTGGATTTTATTCATTCAATAAAATGTTCTCACGGTGCATTAAAATTCCGTACAACGTTTTTGTAATGTTACATTTTATTTCTCTGTGAGTCTACAATCTAATTTTATTTTTGAAAATAAAAATTTCCAATTTAGTAAAGTTACTGTTTTTAAACTTAATGTAGCTACTTCGTGACACAAAATCTATAAATTGAAACGCAGTTTACTTCGTACTACTACCACTGCACTATCTTGAAGTACAGAACTTTTTCGTACGAATTTGAGAAAACACATTTTTATCGAAGCATTTGTGAGTGTTACAATCAATTCAAAAAACTCGAACACATGATAGTCTCCACACACACACGTGCATGCCTAAAATAAAACACTCGAGTTAAAATCACATCCAGACCTAGTTTTACATGCGGCATGCGAGTTTCGCATGGGACGACGAGATTGGAAGCGACGCTGCTGCAGCTTCTGTTGCTTCTCGCGTGCATGCATACGTGTATACGTTCATCTAATGGTCGGTAATGGAACCGCAATAGCGCTCGGCTTGATCGAATTACACCGTCGGTGTATAGAGCTACATCTAGCTGCGGCGCACGTGTACCTTTAAGTAGTTGAAGCAGCGACGCGGCGAGGTAAAAACAGCAGATCGTGTTTGCGTATTATACGTCTTACGTGTACACGAAATGCTTATTGGATTTAGTTTCAAGATTTTGATTATATGTATGCTACAATTAATTTAAAAGTAAATTTTAATAACGTAATTTTGAGACCGTAATAAGACACGAGGAAATATATTCGAGGTGATACAAATTTGGCGCTCATTACGTTGCGGTTCAGATGAGTACGCGCAGACGTCCAAAAATTTCTTGGGTCTACTGCTACACCGATGTGACCAGATATAAATTAGAAACACAGTTGAATTGGCAAGGCAAATTAAGATTCATTACGTAATTTTAACAGATTTTTAAAACTAAAACGTTTCACGTGGTACATTTATAAATCGAGCTTGTAGTGTTTTTTTACATTAAATAAATATTGCGCGTCCTGATCAGTATTATGTATAAAAACATAACTCAAGTAATAAAAGTACAGTCGGAATTTTTTACGATCCTTTCAACTTTTTGCAAAAAGATGCTAGTTCTGAGGAAAAAGGCTTTCATTAGAACTCGATGTAATAGATCGTATAGGGGTAATAAGTTATAGAAAATATCCCGTCTTTTCTGCTCTATGACGTCTTAAGGCATTAATACCTTATAGGTGAACGATGACGTTTACCAGAGCATATAAATCATTAAAGAAAAGAGCATTCGATCTTCTCTCCTAATCTAAGATGGATGACCTAGATGAAGCAAAATTGAAACATTCATTTTTTTATGTTCTCGAAACATATTTATTTTATTTCTTTTTTTTATGAAATTAAAATTAATTCGAAAAAATAAATACTTCAGATATTTTAATTAGAGACAAAACAAAATAAATAAAGTTAGAATAAACTTTTTTTTTAAATTTTCGAAAATGTATTTATAAATTTTAGCACTTACTTTATGGTATAAAATGTTACAGATGCTGCGAGTTGAAGTTCAATGCAATTGATCTGAAAATTAAATTTTGAATATTAAATTACGATAGAAACTCACTTCAACATTGATATAAACTTGATTACTCAATTTTTTTCTATCCAAGAGTAAAAAAATAGGTATTAATTTTAATTATAACAATAATTAATCATGCAAAGTTGCGCGGCTATAAAATTCATATTTTCCCTGCCAAACTATGTTTGACTAAGATTATCTTTGTAGTCTGTGTATATAGTATCTATGCAAAACTATGTCTTAAACTTCCTTGTTAGCCCTACACTTTTAAAATAGTTCACCTGTTAGTTGTTTGCAATTTGTCAAAGTATCAAGTTTCGAATTCATTAAAAATTTGTTAGGTGTATAGTTCAACGGTTACTTTTTTTATTTCTTAATCTATTAAACTATTTTTAGAGTAATAGTATATGCACGTGATGTAATTGGTACGCGTTGTATTTTTCAAGTGTGATTTAAAAGTAATTTCTTAAAATCAATAAAAGACACTGAAAACGGGTGGAGGAATTCGATACTACAAATTAATGACCTAACGACTGCGTTACGCTCAAATCGACTATTTTTAAGCTACTGCGCATGAGTTGTCGACCATAAACAAAATATACATGAGAATCACATTTGAGAGTAGAAAAAACAAAAGTTGCTGCTCCCCTGCTGCTGAATGACACCGTCGTTAAAATAGTCTACTAGATTTCACGTGGCTCGTAATGGCAAAATCTTCTTTTATGACACATCTTCAACGACAGCAGATTTTATCATACGTTTTATATTGCGTCATGGGCAATTTTTTTTTAGTTTTTTTTACTTCCATCTGTTTCAAAAATTGACGAAAAGCACGAAATTTTTATCCGTTAAATTGTGTATTTGCTTTCATGACATGAGTGACATTTGTGATGCGTCTGCTCTGAGAGCTTTGATATTATAATATTTTACATTTGAAGGTATACCCGTGTATTTCACCGGATCATAAAAGCTGATCGTACATACATTTTTATTGTGAAATTCGACACACTATTTCAGGCAATATAGACAATAGGTTATACAAAAATCGTATGGCGTTTTGGAACAATAAATTTCCATCATAATTTTTATATTAAAGTAAATAAATAAACCTTCCACGAGATGAGCGATTAAATGAATGCGTATTTTTCATTTACTAGTGTCAACGAAAATACATTGCTACGATCAAGACGCAAGTGCCATGGCTCAAGCCAAGTTGAATTCATTCGAATCAGTCAAGGTTCAGACTAGACCGTCGATGGATTTTTCAGCAAGGGTGGCATGATCTAGCTCAGCGCTGTAGGCTGACCGCTAAATTTCAGCGGGATTGCACCGTTACCATAACAGCAACAGCATCAGCGACACAAAAGACGAATCGTATTTTACGCATAAATATAGGTCATAATCTGGACGCGAGACGCAGGAAGGAATGGGCCCTTGGGCCTTGAGCGTGCCCCTCGTCGTAGCTTCCACTGTTGGACTGCTGCTAAATGCTTATGTGCTGCTCATTGTTCTTAGCCTTGGAAAGCAGGTACATAAAGTTGTTATCCCCTTTTTAGGCTATATAGTATGTTTGATGAATGAATGCCTGAATTCTATGAACGTCGCAAGTTTTAACTAGTGAATTTGGATGCAACACTTAATAATGAAAAATTTTAAAGTGCGCACGGTTTTGAATGAATTTTTTCGATGCACGCAATTTCGTTGGTCAATTTTTTTTAATGACTTTTCCGAATGTAAACGAATAGTTACAACTGAATTCTTACAATTTTCTCTCACAAATTCCAGTACGAGTAAAGTAAAAAAAGTTTTATTGTTAATAGGAAAAAATGTTCTATTGAAATTGAACGTCAAATTAAAGTCATCTACGTTTCCTTCTGTAAACAAGAAAAAAAATATAATCCCAAAGTTACTCCAACAAGTTTGGGATACTTTGTTATTATATACAGTGAAACTCCTCCGCGCGTGCAGATAGAAGATCGGAAAAATATTTCACACCGTCTTAACTTCCGCGCCAAGTATTTACTTTTTCATGTCTCTATACATGAGACTTGGCTAAATTTTTTTCTCGCTTTTTTATTTACGCGCAACTTTTCGCTCTGCATACATTTTGCTCCGGAGGTAATCAGAACAACAAGAGAGCATAATAGTTTTTGAACTTGCGAACAATGTGTGCCCCATAATGTCTCGTTTATGTATAGGGAGGAAACGTGTTATTCGAGAAAAAATGAGCTCAATTCTATTTCTTGTAAAAATTCTCGTCGGTCTGAAATTTTTTGGTATAATTTTTGAACGAAAAGTTTTCGATGAAAAAGAGTTTTAAAATTCGATATCTCTATTCTGTAAAAGTAAAATCATTTTTTTCACATTTTCATCGACTCCATGGTACAGACTCAGCAACAGCAGACGGGCAACACGTTGCTGCTCATTCATTTGGGAGCAGTCGAGGCGGCAGTCTGCCTGGTACTGTTAATTTTCTCAACTGGCACGTGGCCGGCGGCCGGCCCTGGCTGCGTTCTGCACGGATTTTTGCTCGCTTTGCTGCATCCTGTGGCTCTCTGGACTGTCACTGGACTCAATTGCGAGAGGTGATACAGCTAATGTATAATTCTCGTTCAATGATATATTATTTTTTATTTTTACGATTGACCTTGCATTGCAATTTTTCGAGTAAAAAATTGAAAAACGATGGTATCCACCGCAAAAAAGTACTTATTGCTTTGAAAAGATACAAAGCATATACTTCTATCAGAATAATCAGAATAAGCTTGTCGTTGCATGGAGCTTACTATAATCTGAAAAACTGATAGCTAATACCACAGATAAGCTTCATGTAGTCGCGTATAAACAATTTGCAGGCAAAGTACTTGAATCCATTAATCGTTTCGAGGATTTACGATAGCCTAGTACGCGTAAAACAAATATTTCAAAATAACAAAAAGGATTTCCAAGTGAGCTGATAGAGCTTGAGTTTGAATCGGTAAAAGACTTTGTTAATTGCAACACAATGAAAATGATTGATTTCCAAAAATAATAAATTAATCATATATTTATTCTTACTTTTTGTGAAAATTGAATATTGTAGAAACGAATAGGATTAAAATGCATCCATCCTAAAATATTGTTTACGTTTGACTTTTTGGCTATATCATTTTGAATTAAAGTTTTACAATCGTAAAAAAAAATCAAGTTGTTAATTCAGGATGATAATCGAAAACGAGTCGGAATTACACAATGAACAAACGTGCAGGTACTACGCCATATCAGCACCTCTGCACTACACGGCCCTGGTGTCGCCGCGGCGGGTAGCTCTCGGCCTGGCCATATCGTGGACCGGCGCTCTGCTGCTCTGCCTGCCGCCTTTCTCCGGTTTCGTGCCACCTTATCGCTACGTGCCCGGACTGGGCTGCTGCGCCCCGGACTTTGGCCAACCCGGCTGGGGCAGCGCCGGAGCCCTCTACGGCCTCGTCTATGCGCTTCTGGGCCTGCTGCTGCCTGCGCTCCTGGTCACGGTGTGCAATCTGCGCGTCCTCGGCATCGCGCGCTACCATCGCCACCGCATCGCCAGCGCCATTTACGAGGTGACCCTCTCGGCCCAGGTGACAATTACCCATCAGCGCAATCCGTTCTTCGTGCCGACGGTCACAGCCCCGGCTGCCGGTGGCCCGCCCAAGTTTCACAGCGCGGCGAGTACGGTGAGTACTGTGTAGCATATAAAATGCTCCGTTGGCTGTAGTCCAAGCTCCATTTATTCACGTGCAATAAAACGTCGGAAAAAGAACACGATCGTTTCTCGCACGTCGACTTCGATCCAAGATCCAAGTATTAACTGCACGCGGTTAAAGCTTCATCGACTTTATATTACGTGATCAAAGCCGTCGAGCAGATTTCGTCGGGAAGCATTATTTTTTTATAACGCACTTTTCAATTCGATTTATTCGGCGCATGCACGTCACGCGCACGTGTGTACAGCCTCTATAAAATTATACACCTTAAACGAATTTACTCGGAAGCGAAAAAAACAGCAAAATAACCAGAATAAATACATTGGACGTACAGGATCGCACGAGGCACGGTGCACTATATTTGCCGTTAGTGTAACAGCCACTCGACACATAAAAGGTGTTTGGATCGATCTTCATAAATAAATATGGCCTCGCTGCAGTTGTGTACATACACACACATACACACACTGTACATGTATATTTATGCCACCCTCGCGCGCGAAAACACATCTAACGCGCGCGTAATACGTGACAGACAATATATTCGTCCCATAATATACAACGGTGTAAATTGTATGCACAAGAGGAAATTTTGCTGGAGTCGTAAAAAAAGAAAAGAAGCGTATCGAGCTTAAATAACAATGCACTATTTAACTCGGATAGGTGTTACAACTCGTCGGCTCGCTCTACCTGCTCTACGTGCCCTACTGCGGCGCGATCCTCTGGGAGGTATGCAGCGGCGAGGCCGCAGCCAGCGCCGGGGGTCTAGCCGGCCTTCTGTTCCAAGGCCATCATTCATCGTCGTCCGCGTCGAATTTCCATCACTATTATCAGCAGCAGCAGCAGCAGCAGCAGCAGCAAGCGGTGCAGCACTTGGTGAGCGCCACGATCGGCGGAAGCGGGGCTGGTCGCGCGGCCGGTGGCGGTCCGTCGCCGAGACTCACGTCTTGGGCCTCGCTTCTGCTCGCCTGTTCGCCACCCATCAATGGCTTTCTCTACGGGCTCAAGTCGCAGCTGCTGCGCCGATCGGTACAAAATTACTGGAGAAAAAAGGCTACGCAATCGGAGCTCCAGCAGGTGAATTATTGTATATACTTGAAGCTCTACAAACTCGCGTCAACATGATTAATGAATCGGTCGTTAGTGAAGAAAAAGACGGGAAAATATTTAGATGATTAACCTTGTCAAATTTACGTCATTAATATACGTAAATTTTATCTGTACATACGATATTCACGGTCTCGAGATTCGACACTTTGGCAGTACACGAGGGTAATTGGTATGAGTCGAGCACATAACAATAATAAATGACATAACGACCGTCACATACGCATTTTATAATATTATTATTATAAATTAATGTTTATCAATATTGCTGCTTTTTATATCGGTCGAAAACTGCGCTTTTCTTCTATATATGATACGAATATGCGCATAAAATCAAAACATTTGATCTAAGCATCTATATAAGAGATTGAAATTAGTCACGCGTTAAATTTGTAACGCGAATCAATTTATTGCAGCAATTTTGTACACGCGACTGCGAAGATGAATGAAGCGGGACTGCAAGATTGATTTATTTACACACGCATTGCAGAACTTGTAAAAGCCGCTCAATATAGCGGGTCATGTACAGACAAATAGTTCATTAATCGAATCAACATGCGGATTTGAAATCCTTTGCTGCGGCATATCATATGTACATTCCGTAACTCAATCAAACTTGACGATGGCTTCGTAGCTTTGCAAATGTAAATATATGCGTGTCCACGGTGCAGGAGATCCAAGCGAGGACGCCGAGCGCCGCGGGCTCGCGTCGACCCTCGGCCAGCGGGCCGGCTGCGGCTGCGTCTACCTCGTTCTTCCCGTTCCCGCCGCTGCAGCGTCGACTGTCGGAAGCCCTCCTAGCACTGGGAAACTGTCGGGCCGCCGTCGGAGCTTTCGGCAGCGGTGGCGTCTTTCAACGAGGCAGACTGCAGACCGCCGCCTCCTGCAATACTCTACGAGTGCCAAACGCCGAGCTCGGTGAGTCTATACAGAATATACGTGCCCGTTGTGTGTGTGTGTGTGTCAGCTTATAAAGTACGAATCGATACAGTTGCCGAGCTATGTATTATATTTATGCATTATCTGCAAGCGGGGGTGTGACGAGTTTATTATGACGACACGAGCTTGATAGTCAATTAACATCGTATTTATATTTATACACAGACGAGCTTATATTATAGGCGCTTATACTACGTGCCGTATACGCGCTCATACACATACATTTTCTGTCTCTCTCGGTACATAGCGGCTCACGGCACGCTGCCTATTACCTATTACTCTTTAATGTCATTTTCCCAGTAATAAGTTTTGAGGCTGCGCACACCCTATTTTGAGCGCGAGCACGATGCTTCGGATGCGCGAGCTTCGACACATGAGACGCGCCGCCTAAACTTCGGTCTCAAGACTCATCGTCGCGCGGCGTCGAAAGTTGACTTATATATAGATGGTTCGTGCTTATTGCTCGACTTGCCATTATGCATGCAGTCGCTATTAATGGATTAGGCATTAGCCTCGGTTCACCCGATGACATTTTCCTATAAAACAAAAAACCGCACTCGAGCTCGGCGCGCGGATAATTGCGTTTATTATGTATCATCTACTAATTCGTCGTGTGCTTGATTAGAACTGAGAGCCGCGGCTGCTGCGTTCACAAATTTATATGTAATTCATGAACACGATGATGCATCGCCTATATATAGCGTGCGATTAATTGCGTCTGCGGCACGTTCGTGCGTTTTCGCGACCGACACACCCGCTGATTGGATTGGAATATATACGTGGAATTTCCATTTACATATACGTGTATGTGTACGATACATTTTGTCGAGAAAGATAAGGAGGAGGAGAGGATGGCGCGCGTGTCAAATCGCATACATAGGCAACAATTGGAATTGCGGCAAGCGCGCAAATCGACGAAAGAAAAATTCGAGCGATTCGTTCGGCGGCACACGAGAGAATCTTGAACATTTTTCGATGCATCGATATTTCTAATTAGAGAAATGCTTTTTCCGCACGTCCACGTCAATCACCAAATTCAATTTTGATTTATTTCAAGTTCTCCTTATGTCGAGCAGTTTTTGATGCAATTAAATTGTTTGTTGTTTTTTTTTTAAATAATCGTTTTATCAAACGATTGATCACGTATAAAAAGTAGTTATAAAAATAATCCGAACAAACTTTTTTAGCCATTTCTGTTGCGCTAAAAAAATTATATTTTCCATAAATTTGTTAAATAGTACGCATTGTTCTACTATAACTTTAAAAATTTTTACTTTTCTGTTTATATCATTTGCTTTGCATGTTACCCTTTGTTGCTTCTATTTCGTTTCAGCTGCATGCGTAAACACAATTATACGCTAACAGCTTGGAGAGCTTTTTCTTTACTACAAAAAGTTTTCTTAGCAGTTTTTGTTCTTTTGATTTCAAGGATATTATATGTAAAACTTTTTTCGTTTACAGTACCTTATGAATTTTCATTCCGTATAAGACATGATCTTGTCATTATAGTATTACTGGTCATGAACAATTTCAATCGATCGTGAGTTGACACAAATTTTGAAGTATTTCTAATGTTTGCCGCTTGGAATAGTATACTTTTATATTTTTGAACACACCCGATTAACTAGTTTTAAAATGTTCCGGTAATTAATATTTTTCGCAGCAAATTGATTTAAAAACTTTTGCTACAGGAAAGCTTTTATAATCTCAAGTTTTTTTATTATGATCCATAAATAAGCGATCGTAAAAGATTCGCATCGTAAAGAAGTTTGGTAAGGATAGTAAAAGTTAAAAATTCTCAGGATATTTTCATGCAAAACCATCTCAAATAATCTTCTAATATAATAATGTACATTGAGCTTTTTTTATTTTGCATGACATAAAACCTTAGACGAATTTGACGCTCGAAAAGTAGCTCGCTCACGCGAGAAAGAAAATGGAAACGTGCTTCTCTTTGTAAAAAGCATCAAATTATTCTAATATATCAATGAATATTAACTGGCAGATTCTCGCTTTCAGCGCAAAATATGTCCATTAAAACTTTTACAATTAAAACGATAATTTTCTTGCAATTCGCGCGAAAGTCGAAAGCGGCGTCCGTCCAGTGAGGTCGAGTGCAAGCGCCGCGAGCTTAATGATGGGTCCACACTACCGTAACGACTTTGGCTGCGGAGACGGCACAGGCACGATCGTCGCACCATCGCCGAAGCGCAGCCCGAGGATCATGATAACCCGAGCCTACAGCGAGGAGAGCCAAGACGGCGGCGGTGGAGGAGGCAGTCCTCTGCTAAGGCGCAATTTCGTCGCGCCCATCTCACTGCCACCTTGCGAAAGTGAGCTTTTTACAACAGTTTTACTATTTTCAGATTTTTCCCTTTCGCTATCTATCGAAATCTCGTATTGGAAAATATGATATCGTGTGGAACGTGCACGCCTATGTAAACGATATGATTCTCGGATATCAGTATATAATATACAGGCAAAGTGCAGTTAGGACCTGGTTTTAACTAGAATATACGCGTGCATTCGTAATTTCAAGGAAATTCAATCTTCCCTCGTTCAAAACGTTCGTTTGCTCATGTTCACCTCATAAAGGCCGTACGTGGAACAATTTGGCATTAAATTATTCGGTAATACCAATATATTGCAAAAAAAGTAATTTTACACAATTATTTAAATTCCTATTATAATAACAATTTATAATTTTGGAACAGTCGCGTGAGCGTCGTGAATATACGTCGAGCTCCAGATTTTATTTAGTGGTACAGTCAATAATTGAGTTTCCAAAGTTATGATAGGCTAGGAGAAGATTGAGTCGGCGAGCTTTAAGCTGCGTACTTTAATGCGAGCTCTTGAAAATATCCTCCAGCTATATGTATTATACTTCTGGCAATGCTTAGCGAAATTGCGGTCCAAAACAAATGACTTTCTAATGCCATACATTGTTAAATTTTATTTTATTTTTCGTATGAAAAAAAAGTCTTAATTTTGTTTTCCCTCTCAGGACGCAAGTGGCGTCAACGAGGTAACGATAACGACAACACCGGCGAGGTAAACAGCAGCAGTGGGGTTTGGACTACGGGTGTCCAGAGCACGAAACCGAGCGTACAACGCGGCTCGACGAACGGCTGCACCACGTCGCAGGCATCGTCGAACGCCTGGCCGGGTGGGGCTCGACGTTTCGTGCGAGTGCGAACGCTCGAGGAAGGCGCGGCCATATTTTCCGTGCTTCCCACGCGAGATTCTCTCGCTTGCCATGCCGACGAGCGTACGAGAAACAACAGCGAGAGCAGTGATACGACCACAGATACGACTACCTCGATTACCTTGGTTGCTAACCCTAACTTTAATGCCGTAAGCTCAGTTTCTTTTGCTTGCTTATTTTATTTTCCTGCAATAGCTATGAAAAATTTCCCGCAAATTTACTACATTTTTTCTAAAGTCAATGAATATGATCTAGATTTAGTGTATCGAGAGCTCTTTGGCGCAACAGCTGTTCGAGAGTATTGATCGATTGAACAGTTTAAAGCCAAGGTTGAGTGCACTTGAAATGCAGTTTTGAATACTTGAAAATGCTCAATCTTGAACAATTATGCAGTGGTCGTATGAGTCGAAATCATAATTAAAAAAATGTAACACACATTTTAATGCTTTGAGTCAACCAAATTTTCAGATTGTAAATTCCTGCATTAATTTTATTACTTGATTACGTTTGACACTTGTTGCAGGAATTCGAACAAGAATTCGCGGCTTGTTACGAGGACGCAATCAAGAGCGAGCTCGACGAAGGTGGGAAGGATGTGGACAAGGACTGCTCGACACCTGAAGCCGAGGAACAGCAAACTAGTCCTAATTTAAGTAATTGGAGCTACACCGACGACATGGAAAATTCCGGCCTAGACGATATGAGGGACTCGAATGACGAAGGATTGGTCATGCATCACATTGAAAGTATTCTAGGTAAAAATGGTTGTTCATTTATGAAAATGACATTTTATTATAAAAACGGGAGTGATTCACTTTGCGAAAATATGAGGCATTTCATGCGAAGTGTCCTAGCGCTTCGCCGCGCGGCCCAATTAAGAGAAATCACTCAGTTTCTAACTCACGTAAAAAGTATCAAAATATACTCAGAAAAAATAACTAACTAATGATTTCGATAGGAAATTTCCTCAGCTTTCCGATGGTGTGGTCAGATTTTCCGAAATTTTCCATTTTCCCCGGAAAAATTTGACATAAAGTTTAAAACGCAAATTTCCTAACTGTATGCAAGTTTTCAGAGTGTGCAATTGATTATTACTTAGTGAAACACAGCTGTGAACATCGGGCGCTCGGCCGCGCGGCGGTATGACGCCAGCTGCCGCGCCGTCAGCCATCGCGCGGCACCCACTGCCCTATTCTTGTGTATGACACGACTCTAATTTCTCTTTAAAAATTAAACAAATACATGATTTCGATGTATTTTTTTCTCAGCTTTCCAATGGCGAGGTCAAATTTTCCGAAATTTTCCATTTTCACCGGGAAAATCGTCGAGAACTCTATAAAACTGACTATCTCAAAAAGGACTGAATATTTTGAGTTATAAAGTTTATGTCAAGTTTTTCCGGAGAAAATGAAAATTTTTGGAAAATTTGACCGAACCATTGAAATGCTGAGAAAAAAATACATCGAAATCATGTATTTGTTTAATTTTTAAAGAGAAATTAGAGTCGTGTCATACACAAGAATAGGGCAGTGGGTGCCGCGCGATGGCTGACGGCGCGGCGGCTAGCGTCATACCGCCGCGCGGCCGAGCGCCCGATGTTCACAGCTGTGTTTCACTAAGTAATAATCAATTGCACAATCTGAAAACTTGCATACAGTTAGGAAATTTTCTTAGCTTTCGATTGGGACTATTTAAAAAAATCTTAAAAATGGGCTTTTTGAGATATTTGCGTTTTAAACTTTATGTCAAATTTTTCCGGGGAAAATGGAAAATTTCGGAAAATCTGACCCCGCCATCGGAAAGCTGAGGAAATTTCCTATCGAAACCATTAGTTAGTTATTTTTTCTGAGTATATTTTGATACTTTTTACGTGAGTTAGAAACTGAGTGATTTCGCTTAATTGGGCCGCGCGGCGAAGCGCTAGGACACTTCGCATGAAATGCCTCATATTTTAATTCAAATTCTCATGTAATGCTAGACATTTATTTTTCATTTATGTTTTGAACTGAAAATGGATTTTAATATTTATAAAATCTCTTTCAATTGAAAAAAATTGTATTAATTAAAGTTATAGTTTGATCAAATTTAAAAATAAGTCAATATATTTTTTAGAAATAAGTCAGGAAGGGGAAGAAGATGAAGAAGAAGAAATTGTTGTAGCTAATCACAAAACAGTAAGTGAACAATCACGACGAAAATCGCGAATTGTTCGTGAGACTGAGGTCGCGTCCTCCACAGATCATAAAGAAGCTGCCAATCAATTACGGCCTCTGTTAACTTCGACTTCCTAGCCCAATAGTGATAATGAAAGCGGTGAAATGTTCGCAAGTAGCCATCCTACTTGGATTTAACTTGTACAAAAAAAATACTAAAAATCGAAAAATAGCTAGCGATTCTACATCATGTGCATTGTATATATATCTATTTGTGTTAAATATTGCATGCTATTCGTAAACATCGATTTTTATCTTCAAAAGAAGTAAAGTAGACAAAATAAACAAAAAAGTTTATGAATCTTGCCAAGGACGAAAGTAAAGAAATTCCTATTATATGTGCATACTACTGGAATCATGATCTAGTCCTATTAAATGTCTGAAGTAACGAATCAGTGAAAACCAAGAAATATGAGGTGCTTCGAAATCCTAAACCAAATTACTCTGCACCCGAGCTCGACTTTCAGCAACCCAAAGCTTGCCAGATACTAATTTGTGCAATATAAATACCACAGATTATAAACATTCATAAAGTTAAATCTTTATTATATGAATTATACTTTTGTCAACTGTGATTATCACATACCACCACGTAAGACAAAATATTCACTTATTTAATTTGAATTTGATTCGAATTTTTACTTTACATGATTAATAAAATAACATTATATTTTAAGTTTGAACCAATTGAATGGTACACAATTATTACCAAAATTTCACCCGAAAATTTAATCATAATAATGAATCAATTCTTCACTTCAATTTGTTTGAATATATTTTAAAATGTAATAATAGATTATAAAGACCTGTGTTGTAATCTTACAAAATTATGATTACTGTGTAAAAAAATGAATATAAGAGATATTTTGCGTCATTCAATATTAGTAAAAACTATTTTTCTATTAAAATTTAAGATTCGATAAACCCTGAGAGTGGTAAATCAAATATTTATTATGCTTTAGTAAATTTGAATGGACAAAGGTTATAAAAAATGACTTGATTAGTGAAAAACATATTTTCATAAGTATGATTGCGTGCATGGTTGAAATAAAATTTGATGAAATGTACATATGATGATTAAATGAACATTTTTTGGTTTTTATGGGGTATATTTTTTAATCTTTCAAGGAAAATACATTCCTTAGAATAATTAAACTCACTGTAATTCATACAGAAGTATATGCAAAATATTTCAAAGACACTTTTAAATTTATTTACAAACTTACTCAAATTTTTTAATAATTATAGTTCCTGCATTTTTTTAAATATTTCTCTTTGAATATACGTTCGTTTGTTAAATAGGTAGATATAATTATTCATGATTAGTAATGAACAATACGTACCAATTATTTTTCCTGAATCTATGGAATTTCAGTCTAACTAAAATTATCTATCGGATAAACATATCCCATTCAGATATTTTTCACTACTAATTTTTTTTTATCAAGAGCGTAATAAATTAAATATGTAAATAACCAAAACACCTTCAAGAACATTTTTCCACAGTAGAAAATTGGTTCAGAAGTTGGAGAATCAAAATAAACGAAAATAAATCGGCTCATATCACCTTCTCTCTCCGCAAGGACACGTGCCCTACTGTACTAATTAATAGAAATCCAGTGGCGTAATTTAAGGAAGTTAAATATCTTGGTATGCATTTGGATCGCCGACTTACATGGAGGACGCACATATGGACCAAAAGAAAACAACTGAACCTACAATTCAAGAAAATGTACTGGTTACTTGGAAGAAACTCTGAGCTCACTTTGGAAAACAAATTACTCCTATACAGAAGCATACTAAAACCTATCTGAAAGATTCCAATCTAAAGTACTCAGGAACATCGTTAATGCTCCATGGTACGTGACGAACGAAGCTATTAGAGGTGATCTGGAGATCCTATCGATAAACGAGGAAGTCCAAAGATTCTCATCCTCCTACAAAAACAGGTTGGAAAACCACCCAAACATCCTGTGCTCAACTTAAAAACGTGTTATTCGAAGGGTCAAGATTGAAAAAACACGTCTACCTTTGAAAATAAGAAAATAAAAATGTATATTAATTTATAAGGGCCCGAGTCACTGGACTTGAGCCCACACCTGTTTCCTCTCTATATGTTAAAAATGTTTGTTTATTGTTTTATCATAGACAGATTGCAAATAAACTAAATTAAAACAAAAAAAAAAAAAATATAAATAACGTACTGATTCTGTGTCTTTAACAATCCAAAATATTATGCCTGCCTACACAAACACAATGTATAAATATATATTAGAGTGTTCCTTAGTTTCCTGACCAAAAAAAATCATGCTGCTCGGGATGCTTTGACGTATTGATTTTTTTCCAAAATGCAAGATGTACTCGGAAAGTTCTATGAAACTCAGGCGTATTCTCTGGTTAATTAGAAACAATTTTTTACGAATAGCTTATTTCGCCAAATCCTTTCTTTTCAAGTTGAAAATTTTCGCAATAAAGTAATTTCTATTTTTCAATTAATTAGAGAGTTCAGAAAAATTTGAATAAAAATTTTTTATAGGCATACGGTGTCATGTTTAAGGCGGAAAAAGTTTAAGGCAGAGCGGAAAAGACAAAAAAAGATATAAATAAAAGTAAATAAAGGAACAATTTAATTTGTATATATGGGTTATTTTGACCGATGAGATAGGACAATCTGAAAATGGACAATTACAGAAATTGTATTTGAAAATAAAGTTCCAACAATTTTATATAAATATGAAACTTTACATCACTTAGCATTCATTCATGGTTTTTTTCGAATTGAAAATCGCGATTAATTAATTTTTTATGCTTATATTTTCTCAAGATTCTCATTGGTATTTCACATATTTATATAATTTTAATGAAGTTGAATGACAATCTTTTATAACTGTTTGATACTGTTGAATTTTGAAAAATTGAGTGAAAAGTGATATTCTTAAATTTTGATTCAATGTTAAGTAATTTATGAACTCTGAGATCAAAAATTATTGTATATAAAATTAGTAAAATTTAAACTATAGTTAATAATGAATACCATTATTGAAAAAAAAATATCAATTTATTAAAATATTTCAGGTTGATCTTCGACTAGAAATAACGTTAGTTCCTTGAAAATCCATACTGGATTCAAAAACAATTCTACTAAAAATGTATTCTCCTTTAGCTCTCCATTAAATGATTGTTCGTTTGAATAGTTTAATAAAATTTGCTCTGGGAATTTATCATGATGGAGAGTTATTGGTGTCCACGTTAATTTTGTTTTAAACAAACTAGTTCTAGTTGTACAGGTTTAATTTAATAGTATTTTTCTATTGAACAAAAAATCACTGAAAGAAGTACACTTTCAAAAATCGATCTTATAAGTACAGTAATCCCCGCAATTAGCGGTACTCAGTAATAGCAATTTCGCTTATTCGCTTTTTCGGCCGAAAAGCTGTTTTGATATTTTAAGAAAATATCATTCGCGGTTTAATTAAGAATTTCAATTTTATTCAGTAAACTTTTCGCAAGATCATTCTCAGCCTTATGCCAAGACATTTGTTGACAGTTGTAGATGCAATAATCGTTGAAAAGAAGTCGATTTAAGGACAAGTCATAGATACAACTATCAATTAACGTCGATTAAAAAAATTTACAACAGACGTTACCGTTTTGGTGCGTTAATTTTTTTCGTCCTTTGAAAACGTCTTTTATAATCATAACACCTTTAAAGGGTATATTTATCAAATAAAGAAACTCCGTGATGTATTTAACTAATAAGCTCTTGTGATGATGTTCATGAATAGCCTGCTTCCGCTCGTTGTGCTCAACATTTTTTTTGAAAATGCAAGATTCAATTGATGAAGCCATTTCCTCTGATTTCATTGGAATAAGAAATCTTAAACTCAAATTTCGTAATAGCTCTTTCAAATCTCAAAGAATTTCACAAAGACACTGTGCTTGGTGCTAAAAAACTCATATAACCAGCTACTTTATGAAAAAAATATAAAATATATGATCTCGGAACGTTCTCTTTGAGATCAGTGTTTTTGTATTCACGATTTCGGAATCCGCGCCATTTTCGGCAGAAAGTATTAACCGCCAATAGCAGGTGATTACTGTATAAACAGTTAAATTTCCCGAATTATATCTAATTGAATCATGTACATAAAGAAATGTAAGGATATAGCGATGAAACAGTTAGTTTTGATATCAAACAAACAAAGTTTTCTCCAATTTTGAGTTTCTGTTTTATATTTTTTCAGTTACAATCTAAAACAAAAAATTACAGGTATCGTCCTCGATCAGAGGAGTTAATCGAAGAGGAGCATAGTTAATATGTCGATCGATAACTTCCTGAAAACTTTGCGTGATATTAGTATTTGAATCTTTGATTTTCAAAAAATTTTTTATTTCATTTTTTCAAGTATATTATCTTTCGAGATGAGTTAACGTGAGAATCAATCATACATGATATTGGTGCTGAACCATTTGCAAATTTCTTTGAGCTGTTTTTTTCAAGTTATATTTCTACAGACAATATATCATTAATAAGCAGAATTATTTTACTTAAAATATGATAAAATGTCCAACAAAATTAATATTTGAACCTGTGTTTGAGATATACATTTCAAACACGGGGTAGCTTTAAACATTAGTTGAAATAAGACACTTAATAAAAGATGTTGATCGGAGGGAGTAACGCTAATCTTATAAAAAGTATTAATTAAATTTATTTCACAAAAATCATCAACTGATAACGTTTAAAAAATTATTTTTACTTCGACTGTAACATAAAAAATATACCTTTGCTGCTTAATTGAATTTTCACGAGAAAAAAATTTTTGCGTTTATTATTCGTTCGACTTAGCTTTAAAAAATATGGTATAGTAACGGTTTTTCGTATAAACTGAAATATTAAAAAAATTAATTAATTTTAAGAAAATTGTCAATTAAGTAAATGAAATATTGTTGTACATATGAAAAAAATTAATTACAATTTTTTTCATTTATAACGTAACTTTACGAAAATCCTTTATTACAAAGTATTGTGTATTATATATAATATTAAATAATATATAGATATATAAATTTTACTGAGTATTATTTTATAACGAACTATGAAAATTCTATGTCCACAAAGAAATCGCTAAATCAAAGTGACTCAATACTTAAGTTATAATTCAAATTGTATGTATAGAAATACTGTTCAAATGCTTGTCAACGTTCTTTCACTGTTGTAAATTAAGGAACAAAAATTGTTATAAGTAGAAGTATAAAAGTACAAGATGTCTAAAGCGGGTCTCAACATTTCTTTGACATTGTAGTATTATAATTCTTTATTCATCCTAAAAAAATGTTGGATTCATATCTCAGAAATAAAAAATATGAGGCTAAGAAGTTTAATGATTTTAGATATTAGAAAGAAATTAGATGCTAAAAGTGTATAAAGATTACGGCAATAAGTTATATTTTCATGAGTAAGTTCATATAATATTATTTTGTAAAAATTTAAACCTATAAATTATTATTTATTAGCAAAACTAATAATAGGGGCTTTTTTTCGCGGCATAGGCCTGTATACTATTTTTCATACACAGTAGCCCGAAAATAGCTCTTCTCGTTTTGCGCAGCGGCCGAGAAGTAATCACTTTCTGACCGCTGGTATGAAAATTCATTATTTTATTTCATGATATACGTAACCTTGAATTCAAATTTTAATTAAGGCTAGCAAAAATTTACTCGCATACCTAAAATACTCCTACAAAGTTTCTCCTGTGATCGATAGAACGTTGCATGAACGAAGAATACGTTTAATTTTTAATTATTTTTAGCTCTACAATTAATTATCAACTCCTTGGCCAACAGTTATTAAACATAAAATATTACGTTTTTGTACTCATTTGAATAAAACTAATAATTTTAAAAATATTTTTTGATGTCACAGTCTAGAATTGACACGATGAAAATGTATAAGTATAAAAATATCTACGACGCGACGAGGTAATCATCGAATTCTCGCTAATAATTGTGTTACATAATTTGATGTGAAATTTCTATACACAATTGCAAAAGTTGATGTTTTTTATTTAAAACCTTACTAAAATTTGTACATGCGTTAAAAATAATCAAATGTATCCAAAAAGATGATAATAAACATACGTGGATGTTACTTCAATTTTTTCCACTTTTTTATATTCCTCATAATTCGATTTATTTACAAAGACATCATAGACGATTTGTGATGATATTCATTGATGTGTAACGGCTGGACGGGAGCATGCCCGCAAATAAATATACTAATAGCCGGACGGCCCTCGTATGCAGGACTTGCACACGCACGAGCGCATACGCTGCCATATACACTAGATTGATTAAAAAAAATCTAAGTTTTTCAAAACCTCGATTATACAGTCTTAATATCTTCCATATGCCTAAAAATGAATCCCAAAAAATCCGGCACGGGCGGAGTTTCGCATAACGACTCGACAACAACGAGGACCCGCACGAGCAAGCTGTATGTATCTACTCCAACGTAAATCGGTATGACACACGTGCAGAAAGGAACGGACGTATGCACAATCAAAGCTACGGATAAACATGACAAATCTCGCAAAGCCGAAGACTGCTCGCGACATCCCAAGAATGAGAGCAGCAATAAAATTCACTCGTAAGGGACCAACGACACACATGTGGCCGAGGCCAGCACGAAGATGACTACCGGCTGGGTCGCGAGCAAGAGCGGAGGCAAAAGTCATTAAACGGCATTTTTACGATCATACGCGTAAGACGGCCCAAGTGAGCTTTTTGCATCCGTATAGATTGACTCGTAGATTTCGAGCGAGGCAATTCACCGGAAACAAACTTGTGTGAGCCTACCAGGCGAATTAAAAAATCGCAGTACTCCTCAAACGAGTGGAGATTGAAATGTCCTCTGACAAACATGTGCAAGTGGTGCACGGGGCCAGGCGACGGGACGAACCGGACACGGAATCCGGCATAAATACCGGGCCACAGCCCGGCCTCGGGGTAAATGTTTTGCTTATCGGGACTTACAAGGAGAGCTTTTCAGGTGCGGGTCATGGATTTGCTCCAGAATTTTTTTGTGGTCTCTTGGTACCCAATACTGAAGCTCCCTGTGCTTAGTTTGATCCAATGGGCCTTAGGGCCCATTTAGTAGAGGACTTTCCACATTATAAAAAAATCTTTGTTATTTTCTATATCGAAGTAGAAGTACTGAAACGAAAAAATGGGACGATCAAAAGTTTCAAAATTTTTCAAAGAATCTGCTTGAATTTTTTCAGAATTTTTGGGACCATCTACCACTCTTTTTACGAAATCCCAAAATCTACTAAAAAAAACGTCAAATTTGGACCTCTTGAATTAAGTGATAGGTGGTCCCAAAAATTCTGAAAAAATTCAAGCAGATTCTTTGAAAAATTTAAAAACTTTTGATCGTCCCATTTATTCGTTTAAGTACTGCTATTTCGATATAGAAAATAACAAAGATTTTTTTATAATGTGGAAGATCCTCTACAAAATGGGCCCTAAGGCCCATTGGATCAAACTAAGTACAGGGAGCTTCAGTATTGGGTACCGGGAGACCGCAAAAAAATTTTTGAGCAAATCCATGACCCGCACCTGAAAAGCCCTCCTTGTTAGTCGATTTCACGATAATCACTATTCAGCACTTGGCCGAATTCGCGAGTCATTCCGGGCTTACAATAGTGCATCCGCTATCTGTACGCGCCGCCGAGTAACACGACGAACATATTTGTGAACACGCGGTTAAGTGCGAGTGACGGGCATACGTGCGCCCTTCCGAACGCATAGTTTCCGAGGCTAGCGATAGCCGCCAGTGGTCCACTGCTGCTTGGCCACTACCCGGCGGTAGTGGCCAAGCAGTCCCGCAGCCACTATACCGAGTCGGCGAGCCCTCAACCCACCAACCAACAAGCGACCAGACACCAGGCCCAGCATCCGAACAGCCGAGAAGCCACAACCAAGAGTGTCATTGCCACTACCGCCGTTGGCCAAAATTACGCGTCACTTTGTAAGTGTAAGCCATTAATCTAATTAGTTGATAAGCTACTTCGGTTTTTTTTTGTACTATCATTCATAGTAGTGATACAAACAATAGAACAGCCTTGCGTGAACCAATACCTTGTGCCAATCATTTCTTCTACCTCACTCCACGGAGAGACAACGCGCATAGAGTCGAGTCGTTGTGTTATAGCGTCATTGAATAATTAAACACCGTTGAGCCTGTGCATATTAACTTTAGTCAACATATTATATTATTAATAAATAGATGGTCAAACCAACCATCACTATTGTGTTACATAATTTGATGTGAAATTTCTATACACAATTGCATTTGTCAATGTTTTTGATTTAAAACCTTACTAAAATTTGAACATGCGTTAAAAATTATCAAATGTACACGAAAAGGTGAATAATAAACATACGTGGATGTTACTTCAATTTTTTCACTTTTTTATACTCCTCATAATTCGATTTATTTAGAAAGACATCATTGACGATTTGTGATGATATTCATTGATGTTTTTCACCTTTAAATTAAGAATATCAAAAAGAGCATAGTCACTTAATTTGTCCTAATATGTGCGCGGAAAATCAACTATAACATGATGCGGCACATCAATTTTACAAGAAAATGTTTTCCTGGAAATGGCTCAATGAAGTTTAAACCTAAGGAATATTTAGAAGAATGTTGATATTTACGTAAGCACATCTTGGCGTATATTTGATTTGGAAATATCCAACGCACACTGGTAGTTAAATTAATTTATTGATACAGTGCTCATCATTTACATAGTAACAATTGTATCAGTCCGATGTCGCGAGGAAATCACTATTACTTTGAAACTTTACCCGAAAATGACAGGTATTTACTACAATATATAGAGATGAGCAATTCATGCATGATTATAATGCAAGAATGTAAGAATTTAAACTTGTAGTTTATAATAGATTCATTTTATTCACTGAAAAAGCATGTAATACTTAGAAGCAATCGATTAACACGTTTGACGATAAAAAGATTGATTGTTTGTAGTTAACATTATATCGAGCTAAAGATTTCAACTGTTAATTGACTGTTATTAAGCACGTATGAACAATACGTCTTTAACACTGCAAATATTTCATCTAGTTTCTTGCGCAAGGCCTTTGGGTTAGGTTTCGCTTAAAAAGTTTATTTTTAATTTAAACTGTTAAATATTACTTGGAAAAATGTTACGTGTGAAATCATGGAAACTATTATGGATGATTTTCCGTCGTTATTTAGACGCTGTTTGTATATTTTTAGAAACAAAGTTTATTTCAACTAAAGGTGCTATCATGTTGTTATTGATACTGATAAGAAGAGCGTTGTATCGCAAATGGAAAGCCCTAATGCGTTCTGTATACTGGTAATTATTTCTATGATAACAAAAGTTATAATTTAAATTTTTTTAAACATTCCTACTTTTAAATTAATTTTAAAGTTTTCAACTTATAAAACTGTTTCTGGCCTGACTTTATTTCTGCTCAGCTAAGCTCCATTTTTGCTAAATTTTGAATTATTTTTTATATAAGACCAAAATTAATATTCAAATAATATAGCTTTGTTAAACATTTTCGGATTATACAATCAATTTTTTTTTAATTTTAATTTTTGTTTACAATTAAATCACTGATATTAATTATTCAGCAAAAATAGAAGCAGACTTGTTATGGTTTACATCATAATAATGGGATTTGCAATTGTTCCTATTTACTCTACTGGTATAACTATATTTAGGATGCACCGTCCTTTTCAATCTAGCTCCCGTAAATAAAATAAAGAAGTGCAGGTTTTTGACGTTTTTTAAACGTTTTTCGATATTCTAGTATTTTTCTTGGTCGTTAGATTTTAATGTCCATTACAAAAGAGTAGGCGGCATCTATTGACATTCTGCGTAAGCTCAATGAATTTTTTACCTAGCTTTTTTTCTCTAAATAAGTCAGTCTTAAATATTCTATCGGACACATGCATTTTTTATAATATTACATATATTAAAATTCATTAGATTAAAAAATGTATCAATTTTATCATCTTTGGGAATATTTTGCAATTGGTATCACCGATTCATTGTTTAAAAAAATCATAAAAAACAAAATATTTAGCTCCAAAAGTTCAGATGAAATGACATATTATATATCGGCCAATTTTTTTTTTTTAAATAAATATTTTATCAAATAAATTTCAAATAATGAGAAATAGCGTTGAATCATTAATTGTTTGAATAATTTAAATAAGTTACATCTCCATTGTCATTTCATGTTATTTTGTATTTTATTCAATATGATATTCTTATAGAAATTGCATTGTAATTTGTGTTTGAAGTACTTAACATCGTCAACGACAGATGTTAAGATAGTCTAGTCAGATTTAATCTCTGACACGGGTAACTGACCGATAGTCAAACTATTATCGACTGAGCAGTCATATTTTTAAAAGAAAACCATTGCGCACCGTAATTCCCAGCTGAGTCTCTGCGCCCATTCGACAAACTCGCGGCGCGCAAGCTCGAATCGATCGGAACGGCGCCGACGTATCTGCGCATTGCAGCTGCCTGCTTTTGGTGTCACACTCGTTGGGCAAGCTATACACATCGAATTCTCTCTACCCAGCAAAATCCTGCAGGCAAGCTGAAGGATATCTAACCAAAAGCTCCGCAGTGTGCAAGAAGAGATGGTCGAGTAGCTATACGCCGGAGCTTGCGGCCCCTCTGAATTCGCCGTCCTATGCCGCGCGACTGAACTCAGCTCGATCGACATCTCCAAGCCGAAACGACGAAGGTGGATCATCGGCAGCGGCAGCAGGATGATCCTACCGTCGCAGGGTGGACGCGGCTTGGACTGCGACGCGATGGGCCTCGGCCTCGAGGACAGCTACTTCGCCCTGCAGCCGTCGACGCTGAGCTCACCGAGCTCCGACGAGTACGTCGGCGGACAGTTTCTCGGTGAGCCCTCGCTCGAACACAATCCCGATGCCAGCTGTTCGAGCCTCTTCTACTATTACTGGCATAAGTGAGTCGCTTTACACGCGTTGTTAAATACAATGTGACAGAGCTTTCACGCTAGAGCATCGAGCAGTAGTAGACCATTTGTTTTGTAGCCCACTCTTGTTTTTCACCATGTTTATTTGAACTTTCTTAATGGATGATGTAAGCTTGCGAGTAGATTGGCATTGCTGCTTTACGGCAAAGCCAAATAGAATAGGACGATTTTTACTGCAGTCGTTTTAGTTAGTCAAATCCACAGAAATCGCTTACAAAAATGTCTATGCATTACGTATAGACTCGTAATATAGTAAATATATCATTTTAATGATGCTGTGCATACTAAACTTTAATTATAAAGACCCATGCACTTGCTTTAAATAATGAAGAGTTTAAAATCAAGAGATTCCAGAATTTATTGAAAATGAGTATGTCCGAGGGAAAGTCGAGATCTATCTTATCGACAGTATACTTGTTACATGAAAAATAAGTGGCCTTTTTCTTAACATACGTCAAACGAATCAATTAAAATAGTATCGGAGATGCTATTTTTTTACTGATAAAATTTAAAATAGAATAAATAAACCACCAATTACAGGAAACTACCCAAGAAGTAGGTAATGTCGATTTAAATTTTTAATAGTACACTTCATTCGAAATTTAAAAAAAGTAACGTGAAAATCGTGCAGATACTTTGTAAATAATTATTAATAACATAACCTTAATTGTCAACTTTAATGGTTAATGCTTAGATTTGAATAAATCTTTGTTTTCCCAACGTAGCATCGAATGTTATGTCTTATCTAATCTTAGAGAAAAATATGAAAGGCGAGATGCACTTACGTGTGAGGCCGTCAAAAGCACGCGTAATCGTAATTAATTTCTTGGATGATTAGAGCACTGGAAAAATGAACTGAATCACTGCATAGACGCAATAATTATGCATGCAAGCCGGAGAGAACGCGAGAGTCATGTGCCACAGTGCCAATAACAAACTGCCGAAGATGACAAGAAATGCATGCATAAAATTTAAATTCATAAGAAACACACTCTTCCTCTCTTCTATCTCACTCGGTGGATAAGTGAAAAATTATTGTTTTCAGAATCAGCTGACTTCGGTGTCGATGTAAATAATTCAGTGCATTATCAGTTTTGTATCGGTGATCGGATAAATCTGCAGATGAGAGTGTCGCGGAGATAAATTTTCGCGTGAATATTCTTTGTTTATTTTAAAGTTTGAGGTACCAGTAAAAAATTCGTTCAATGGTCGAGTGACGACAATTGCCAGCTATAACCTAGATGTAAAAAAAGTCATAAACTTTTTCGAATTCACCAAAGTTCAAGCTGATTAACGACATAATCCTAGTCCTTCTCATTCATATCGGTACTCGATTGGACGATGCCACCCGTAGACTGCGATTGATCGTAATAATATTTCATTTGTAAGTGAGTCGCAGATGCACGATTACGTCAAGACAAAACGCGGCGTCGCTCGGCTTTCTGCTTCAAGTTTCTCTAATTCTGTGGCATTACGATTAAATTCGCAGACCCTACCGGACGAGAAAGCGATGGATCATAGGTGGCTTCATAGTGGCGGGCGCACTGCTGACGATCATCGTGGCCAGTAGTCTGTACGGCAGCAGCCATGGGACTAAAGAGATGGGCGAGCTCGTGCCACCCGACCCGGAGCAGCCGCCGCCGCCATCGGCGAGCAAACCTCGAGCTTTCAAGCGGGCCGCCGTTTGCGCGGACGGCCCACCTTGTGCCTTCATCGGCAAGTACGTCGCGACTCAATTTTACCGCTCGATCGATCCAAGGGAGCTTGAAATTGTATAATAACGAAATCGTTCGCAGATCGATGCTCGATCGGAATGGATCGGCAGTCGACGCGGCTATCGCGAGTCTCATTTGCAACGGCATCATCAACATGCAGAGTATGGGCTTGGGAGGCGGCTTTTTAATGACCATCTACGAGAGGCAGAACAATCGCATCTACGTATTGAACGCCAGGGAGGCCGCGCCAGCTGCGGCTTACGCGCACATGTACGAGGACAAGCCGAAATTTTCATCCCGAGTTGGTAGGTGTATCAAATGTGCATGATGTATGAGATATTCATACGAGTTGGATTTAATTATTGAATTTTTGTCACAGGTGGATTGTCCATAGCTGTGCCAGGCGAGCTTGCTGGTTATTGGGAAGCCCATCAAAGATTTGGAAAAATACCTTGGGCCGATTTGTTTTATCCGAGTATCGATTTGTGTGAGAAGGGTTACAACATGACGAAGCACCAGTGGAACTCACTTGGCTATAATAAAACAAATATTTATTCTGATCCAACGCTCAAGTAATTGTTTTCGTATAGAGGTTATCGATCGCGAGACCAATGTTTTAATATTCCTTCTTTGTTATTTTTTAGGGAAATGTTCGTCGACCCTAAAACAGGCCAGTTCCGTAAAGCAGGATCGTTGATAAGGCCAAAAAAACTGTGTGAGACGTTGAAAATAATCGCCGAACAAAATGCGACGGCATTTTATAACGGAACTCTGGGAAAATATTTGGTCGAGGACATCAGAAAACGCGGGAGTATCATTACGATGAAAGACTTGAACGACTACAGGTACGAAGCCGAATTTTTTTTCTTACGATCGAGTACATGTTGAACGAGACGATTATTTTTGTCAGGGCCAAGTGGGAAGATCCCGCGTCCACGGAACTTTACGGAGGTTACAAAGTTCACTCCGTTGGTGTTCCAGGAGGTGGAGCTTTACTCGCGTTCATATTGAACGTTCTGGATGAATTTCATTTGCAACCGAGCGACATCGCCGACACGAATTCGACCATTAAAACATATCACAAGATAATCGAGACGTTCAAATATGCGTTTGGTTTGCGAACGAAATTGGGTGACGTGGAAATGCCAAAGGTACGTCAATGTGCCACTTGATCCGCGTAATTTTATCATTCCCTTATTCAATAAAATTCGAATATAGTTTCAGAAAAACATAACGTCGAAAAATTTCGCTCACTCGATTCAGCGATGGATAAGCGACGAGAAGACGTACGGCGACGCATCGCATTACGGGGCCGAAAATTCCGGCAACGGCGAGGATCACGGAACCGCTCACATAGCGGTAATGAGCGAAAACGGAGACGCCGTGTCTGTTACCAGCACCGTAAACATCTAGTGAGTCGCGAGCTTTTTCTTTTCTCTTTCGCCTCTCTGATCCAAGTTATAAAGCAAAGCGTCGTTGTCGCAGCTTCGCCAGTGGCATCGTCAGCGAGAGAACCGGCGTACTGCTCAACGACGCCATGGACGACTTTGGTCTACCGGGCATATTGAGTTATTTCGGATTGCCGTCCAACGAGAACAATCACATAGCGCCGGGCAAGAGGCCCCTGTCGTCCATGAGTCCAGCCATCGTGCTCGACCGTAACGGCGACGTCAAGATGACCGTCGGAGCTGCCGGAGGCACTAAAATCCCGACTTCGCTCGCTCTCGTAAGTTGCCACGGAAACAACGAAGGTTCAAAAGTAAAATGTTTAGCCTACAAAGATTGCTTTTCTCTTTCGGCGCAGGTGATAGCGAGGTATCTGTGGCTAGGCAACACGATAAAGGAGGCGGTCGACGCGCCGCGAATCCACCACCAGCTCTACCCGATGCAGCTGTTCTACGAGTACGGAGTGCCAAAAGCAATAGTCGAGGGCCTCAAGGCCATCGGCCACAACGTGACCCGATATCGCGATCGCGGCAGCGTCGTCTGCATATTGACGAGGATCAACGGCACGATTTACGGAAATGCGGATTATCGCAAGGGCGGCGACGTTTACGGAATCAACTGAGAATGATACGACATAATTTAGAAAAATCGTAAAATCTATTCCTCCGCGCGCGAATCCGATATCGGCGACCCGGGCGAAGAAAGTTTATGAATATAAAGTTTCGCGTTGATTATATGTGTAAGCTTTTTTTCGCGCCGACAACGACCTCCTCTTCCAATTTTCACTCAATTCTTCCTAGTTGCGATTGTATAATGGTCAATGAATTATCGATTTTCGTAAAGTGACTCGTTTGTAAATAAAAAAAAATAGTAATAAAATTCAAGGCAGCGATAAGCGCTGCAATGAGATATGCAAGCACGCGACGATCGCGAATACTATCTCGTTTCAAAATAAATAAAGAGTCAAAATGTGCGCAGTCCAAATAATCATTGTTTTTATAGTATTATTTACTTTGTATTTCGTAAGGAAAAATGAAGAGTATTCCGTAGATTTGAAAGTTTAATTGCATAGAGAATAAGAGAACTTTGTTCGACTGTTGACGGTAGTAATATTTAGTTTGTTGAAAATAAAATGGCCAAAAACCTACTTGATTGTTCACCACCACTATAGACTCAATTCGAGAAGATAGTAAACAATTTTTAATAACTTACATATTGGGTTTTCATTTATTCCCTATTAATTTAGAAAACATTTCGAATGAACAATAATAAAGTCACAGGAGAAAATATCAAAAGCATTTCAAACGATAAGATCGAATGAGAAAAGGAATAAAAAATGTTATCGCTCTATTTTTTTGCTGCGCAAAAAATAACTCTCTGCCCATAAAAATCGTCGGAAAAATAAAATAATAAAAAAAAGCGTAATGCTCTTACTCACCGATTGGAAAAAAGGCTTTTGTTCGAGTTCAGCTATAACGCTGCAAATGGCTGCATTTTTCGACTGATAATATAGGCAGGCTCGGTCGTTTATAGGCCCGTATATGCGTCGATGAGCGGCAATCTGAAATCGATAAACATGCAATGGGCTCTAGATTATATATAAATAAATAGTAATAATAATCGTGAGTGTTATTATCGTTCTTTGCGTTATTTTGCTCGCGAAGAGAATAATTAAGATTAATATTATAATTCAGTGACATCTTTAGACTCGATCTTCGCTATCTTTTTTGCGATTCGAGTTTGAAAAGTCGCGCGAAATAGATAAAACTTTATGCTCCGTGTGAATGTTATTGCATACGATGTATTTCGAAATCGTAGCTAATATGAGTTTTTAACCATACAAATGGCACATGATACAGCCAGTTATATTACATCCGGTGTCAAAATCGACAACCTAATTATTTTCGTATACCAATCGTAATCAGCACAATAACGATTGATTGAGTGATGCAAACGCATCGGTATAACTTATGCACGTTTAAAATGCTACTATTGTCACAATTTGGCAAAGTAAGGAGTTGAAAAATGTCATAATTTTTTATTGTAACCCGATCTGTTGTTGCAGTGACTCATCCTCTATGACATCGGTGATGCATATTGGTCTTAAGTCGTTCAATATTTTTTCTATGTAATACGTGTCGCGTGAATTTTTACCCACAAGTACGTAAACGACCGAATTTAAATACGTAAAAAATTGATAATTTCTCGAAATTGAGTCAGTGGCGCGCGCAGCAATAGTAAACAGTATTGCACGATATTTTTTTCTGAATCACGCGAGCGCGTGAACTCTCACACACACACACGCGCGTAAGTGGCCGAGTTCGACGCTGCGCGTATATTCCCCGATACTCAAAAAAGTTACATCATTGTACACATCTCTGCTGATGAAATAATGTCGCGAATTTTACATCCGTACGATTAAAATCTATAATCCGGGGTAAATTTTGGACAAAGTTTTCATTCAACGTTCAAAATACGTTATGTTGGGGAAAACCGACGGTGATATTTCTATTATTATTTTGTGCATAAGTACAGGCTGTCGAGCACCGGCCGGCACCGGCATGCGTACATTGTTCGCCTATTCTTGTTTTTCTTTCGAAACAGATATAGACGTGCTACACCACAGAAGTTTGTAGGCAAAAACTAGCGGCAGCAACAGTCCAACGTACTTTTAGACGACTTCGTTTCGCATTATACTTGGTGCATCTACGCGTAATATGCGTGCTGAAGGTTAGCCTACTCGTGTATTGCGAGAATGGCGGTGCGCCGGTGCACCGCTGTGTGCAGCTAAGTTCCGCGCAGTTATATATAGGTAGTAGCAAGCGCTACCCCTCGTACAGATGGGAACCTTCTCGAATGTTCTACAAGATTCTTGATTATGATTATCGTAGATAAATTTTTATGACTGATTGCAAAATTCCATCACACGAGATTGAATTAAAGTAACTGAGTGTTGGTGATCACTCGATAGACACTTTGTAACGGCTTTGTTCTACGGATACATGTGGAGTATGAAATTTTCACAAATATTGTCCACCAAAATCTCAGTAACATGGTTTCAAATCGTTTAGAATGTAAAATCAATCCTGGCTCTCTTACTTCAATCTCACCCGAACAAAAATTCTGCTTCATAAAACGTATATATTACGCGTGTACAGCACGCGCAGAAGGTGCGAGTAAATTCGAGAAACTCGCGCGTCGACTTTTCCAGACGTCCGCGTGAGAGTCACATATTAATTTTTTGTAACAGGCACTCATGAGAATTATTAATATAAACTCGTCTTCGCATAGGTCGAATCGGTACATCGTCAAGGTGTGCGTTGGTTACAATTTTATCTCGGTCCCGAACGAGATTCGCAACGTCGCATGGGTCGCTCTGGTTAATGTTTATCGTGCAGCTGCGGCTCACGCCGTTGCTCCGAAGTGCGAGAGAAAGACGGACGTGATTAGTCGCACGTTTTCGCATGCTGCCCGCAAAATAGTGTCGAGCGTTGGTTCGATATAGCTATACAAGATACGGCAGCATGCGTGAGTGACATTTCGTTCGCTCTTGTTTACGTTTCGCTGCTCGAGCCGTATAATGCGAGCTTTATAATACACCTCGTTAAGCTTAGGTGCATTACAATAGATATCACTGAGCTACACGTAAGTATACGTCGATCTGAGACGATGAGCAAATAAATACTCGACTCGACATTATTTTTCTAGCGATGGAACTAAAATAATAATAGTAATAATATTATGATGATAATAATAAGAATAAATTGGAAGTGATCCAAGAGAAAAAATATATTTTAATGACACAAATTCGTGTACGATCGTGCGATTGATTTGGTTACGGTTCACGCGTTGTTGTCGTTCTCCCAGGCGCCAAAAGTTCAATGCGTTCGTTATTTTCACGCACAATGCTAGCATGTACACGTGTGTCGAGAGGAAATGCACGCGTAATGCACAAAATAGCGATAAACGAGCTCGACAAAAGCAACATACTACTCTATGCACGATTTATCTCAAGTATATAAACAATAAAGTCGTTGCATTTGTCTTCTCATTGAATCGAATCGCAGATGATCGATACCGCGTGTCTGTTATAGTAGTCAATCATAAGCTCTCACGTCAATTGTCATTTGTCAAACGGGTGATTTTTATTCCGTCTCCTATGTATGCAACTTGGAGAAAAAAGACGCAGACGGAAAAAGAGCACGAGAAGCGACTGATAATAAAAGGCAATAATACTATACGGACTTTATTGCAAGAATAATAATACGCGCAACGTAGCGAGAATTTTGAGATATATGCGGCGCGCGAGGAAGAGAACTGCATCGTCGCCTCGGTGCAGAAGACGCTGCGGCGACGATGATAATAATAAAACTCGTGCACACACCCGCTAAAGCGCGGGCACTTTATATTTAGCGTGTATAAAGTAAATTATCATTTCGCCTCGATGCAGTGGCCTTTGATACTTGTTTTTCTTGTCTTCCTACTTTTGCCGTAAATATACATAATGAAGAAAGAGAGAGAGAGAAATGTCGTCGGTGCGAATCGCGTTGGTATGTGAGCGAAGTAAATAAAGCCTCTCGCTCAGCTACTTTTTGATGCACAAATGTTGATTCGGCGTTGCAGCTCCAATTTCCAATTGACTCGATAAAAATAATAAAAAAAAAGGAAAAAAGGAAAAGTTCATGAATTTGTCAACAGTGCGATATTCGCATTGACGTGCGGCAGGGACTGTTTGTTATCAAGTATTATGCGAATACGTGTGCATACGAGCTTGGACGCTGCTGCGAATTCGACGCGTAATACTCGTTCGAGCGCCTATACATCTACAACACGTCTTTTTTTCTTCTTTTTCTTTGTTACGGCTATTTTTAGAATGAAAAACTGCGTATATCTTGCCGCGTACATATGAGCGTTGAGCAGCAGCGCGACACATAGGCCAACGCTGCATAATAGAACTTTTCATTTTTTATAAACAAATTCACTCGACAATGGTGAAATGATGGTACTTTATCGAGTTTCCGAGGAACGACATAAAAGTATAAGCGATCGTAAGAGCAGAAGATGAATGCAATAATTAATTCATTTTCCAACTAACGGTAGCGCGAATCGATTCGAACGTATATTCAAATCCACGATTGTAATGCTGTTTTTCTAGCTTTTTCATTCCTGCCTCTCATTTGTTATTTAATTATTCACCTACATGCATGTGAAAACATGCAATGTCAATATACCGATTGTGCGTACTAAATAGTACGAGCATCGAAACGACTGCCTTGGTTGGAGTCGTGACCGCCCACCACAGGATGATGAAATTTCGAATACTATTTTTCTCGACAAATAGGCGAAACACATGCAAATCGTATACCATTTTATATTAAACAAAGACGTTCGCTTCGTCGTCGTCGTTGGTTGCATTAGTAGAATACGTACCCAAAGTCGATCCAGTGCAGCTGAGATTCTCTATCGTAAATAAAAACAAAGCCAAGCTGCGCATGGGCCGAAAGGTGTACGTCTGTGTTTGCATGTATGTGTATATTTTGCGCTTGTGTATGCAATCCGTTCGAACGAGAGACAGTTCGCGAAAGAGTCCGTTGCGAGCTGAGCTGCTGCTGCTGCTGTTACATCGAGCTCGACTGCACATGCGCTCACAGAACTTTCCAGAAATGCGCCAAGTGCATGCGGCGCAGTTCACCGGTTAATTGAACTCAGCTGTGCTGAATTCGCACACCTATGATACGATATCGTAGACTCGTCACAACGAAAAACGTCGATTGTTACCGCGCAAAGTCGCGACAAAACCGTCCAACATCTTCATAATATTTAGAAAATCACGCCACTTGCTCGAAAAACACTACAGATCAGATATGCCATACATTTAGGCCTGTATATACACTTTGATTTGACAGCCACAACAGCAGCAGCGGCATCGGCTCGGCCCGCGAGAGGGGCGTCCGAGGGGAAGTTGAAAACAGTTGAGAGATCCGCAAGGGGTGGGGATGAAGCCGTAGCAGAGAGCAGATCCTACGTGCCGAATGCCGACGCTTATAAAACCAGCACTGCTCGGCCGGGATTCGTCAGTATTATTTTCGACTCGCTATCAGCAACTACGCAGTTGTGCAAAATAAGCCGTACAAACTTTTGCGCAGCAATTATAATTCTGCTTCCCGCATCAGTTACTAATTAAATCGATCTGTTAACGTATATTGTATACACATACAAACGATTGTGATATTATCAAGCTAAGCCTTGAAAGATCTGAAGTAAATCTAGTCGTCTTTTTTTGTAAATATATATTACAACAAAGAAGAGTTCAAATTTGAAGCTTTGCATCATCGAGAAAAAGGAGTCCTGCTGCATACAAGCTAAAACACGCGCAGACGTTCGAGCCATCAGATAAAAGTCAAGAGATACGTTTTTGGAGCATCATGTCTGAATCTCACTTCGACCAGTACGAGCACTTCAACTACGACTACGACAAGTACATCCCTGCCCGCGCCAGCGGCAAGAATCGTAGCAAGCGCGAGGCCAATATGCATACCAATCACTTCGATCCGAGCGGCCATTCGAGAAAAATCCTCACGAAACTCGTCAATACCGAGCACAACAAACGGGCAATTACCAAGTCTTAGGCTGTGCTCTTCGATTGCCTTTATTATTAATTACACGATAAGGTAAGTTGGCCCATTACGGCTCTTGATTCTCATATACATTGCTTCGGTTGAAGGTCGCGCATCTCGAGGGACGCGAATAAAAAAATATCCTTTAGACCTGTCTTAGGGGCTTTGTTTTTATTTTGCTTCTCTTGCGCGATCGTGTTTTCTCAGCGAGAGTTCGTTTGACATCGAAGATGGCGCCAGCTACCTAACTGCGTCTTTCGAATAATGCAGCAGATGCAGGTCACGGTCGACTCGTCTGCAGATTCGTTTCAAATCATTAAACAATTGCGATTTTTCTCGATTTTTTCACTAATCTGCTTTACGAATTCCCTTTTTCAAGTACTTGTTTGCGTTTGCCATAGTGCTTAATGAAAATATTTTTATATTTATGATGCCGCTGCTGACATCAAGAGTCTTTGTCTTTGTTCAATAACAAAGAGCTGCTTTGTTAAACGTTTTTTTTTAACGATATCAGTTAAAATGAATTTTAGAAAATTACCTTACAACCCCATGAATAACTCTTGAATCTCATTATAAATTGTCAATTATAAAATATATTCTTATGTGATAATATTACATATAATATTACAATGGTGTTATTTTTACACATCAAACTTATAAATATGTTTTATCTGTTTCAGGAGTTTTTGAAAGCTATTTGGAAATCGTCTAATACACTTAGTACTACCGATTGGTTTGCTGTGATACCTGGAAGCTCCTAATTTCATGCATCATCCTTCGACTTTTGTTTGATAAGCGCATTTATAAGGAAATAATTTAATTAATAATATTAGTTAATTAATTTCAAATAACTTAAGTTTGTCTTATCAAGTCAATTCGCGCATTAGTTTCAAAATTGAAAATTATGCCTTGAAAATTATTATTATAAGATCTTTTTCTTGTCAATAGTTATAATATCTATGTGGCTTGAATAAGAAATCATCAAAAAAATTATCATTTTTTCATTTTCTTCATTTTAGCTTGTATGTAAAAATAGCTATTATTAGATTACTGTTTTTTTGTAAACTTTCCAAGGTTATTCAATAGTCTTGACTATTAAATTTAAAGTTTCCTATGTTAAACTGAGTAATGTAAAAATACTTAATAAAATACTTGTTTCGAAAAGCACACTTGAAATTTTTATTTCAAATCCTTTTATGTTTGGGTTAATCTTAGATAACTTTAATTTTTCTTGATATTGATGAAATATTTCTGAAAAGTAGTAGTTTATACTTGCTTACATCATTCTAGAGTTATTAAGACAAAAGTTTGAGTTGATTGATCTTGACAATGTAGGAATATAAGAATATAATGAATATATCCAATATTACTCATTTGTGCAAGTATAAAATTTAAATTACTTACAATGTTTCTGGGAAATGAATTATTGGCAAAACATTTTGAAAGAACCATGCATTATAATTATCATACTGTTTAGTCAGAATATATTAATGAAGATGTACTAATGCTATCTAATAATATATAATATCAAAGGTATCAACTGATATGTTGAAAGTTTAGTTCAGTTACCATACTTTTGAGACTCAATGTTGATTCTTCATAACATACAGAGAAGAGATTTTCAAGAATTAGAAGCGCGAGTATTTCTATTACAAAAATTCTGTGTTTGCTGTCAATTTTAAGTTATTTATTAAATATACTACAACAAATATACAGTATTAAATATTCAGTACAAATAAAAATCTCTTTTATATATGCAACTGACAAATTAAAAAGATTAGTAGAATAGGTCTCTATGAGAAAATGATAAACAATATTATTATGTTGAACTCTAATAGTTTTGAAGTTATGTATAATATGAATTATAAACAACTCAATTGAATTGTAGGTCAAACTTCAATACTTATACAAAAATCAAATTTGCAGGGAAAAAAAATATTGAAGAGAATATGTTAAAAATAAAATATAATCAATTCATTTTCTATTACTGGTCTTTAACTTTAAGAATGTTGTAACAACCACGTACAATTTTTCTTTTTTACAATATTAAATTTATAAAAATTGTAGTCAAACTGGATATTATAAATATTATTTTCGATTGGTAATATCAGCATCTATTTTAGAAGATTATAAATTCAATTGGTGAATTGTATTTGTATATTTTTATTCACCATAACACTTACTGTCGTCGATCGAAAGGTCCATAAACTCCGTAAATTAATTGTTTATTCATTTTCATCAAACAAATGCAGTGCTCTGCGCACCATAGAAAATACAATTTTTAAGCGAGATCGTTTCAAATAAATAATTAAAATTTTCAATTTGTAAGATTTAAATTTGTGAAATCCAAAATAGAACAATACTGCTTAGCTACGAAGCTGACGCTCAGCTTATTAGTGATGCTTTGGACAAGTCATTCAATTTTTTGGAGCAAATTCTCATATCAATAAGAGAATTAAAGCCAAGTTAGGGTAGTTATGCAGTTGGATTATTATTTTGTACTGCTTCTGTTAGAAATTAAAATGAACAAAAATAAGTAATTCTACTCAAGTTTCTTTAGTTTCGAACAGGAATTAGATGGCAGCATTTGATTTAATACAATTGAACATTTCTAATACATGATATGATTTGATATGTGTAAATTATTTCATATCTGAAAAGCATTTCGATACTTTGTTTTTAATAAAAAATTTAACAGGAATTTTGCTGGTTAGCATCAAAAAATGAATTCATCGACCTAAAAAACCGTAGAATAAACCCAAGTTATTGTATGCCAGCAGTGCTTGGAATGGATCGTAAATATAAATATGATGAATTTTCTCTCATTAACAAATGAACTATTGAATTTCCAAAGTGTTACCAAATTTATTTTAATTTTTGTTTTCCGACTATAATTATTGTTGATCAGATAGATATCAGTTTCTATCGTCGAAGATCAAATCTCATTAATTTTATTAAAAATAACAATGACGTAACAGATATTGAGAATCTTGATCAGCAGCTAGAGCTATATCTCAAATAGACCTTGCACGAATACGTGCATGCAATTAAAAGCTCTCGCACGACGATTAAAAAGATATCACAACAGACTTTGGCGAAGTACAGCAGAAAATGATCATAAATACGGTTCCTCTTGACACACTCTTATCAAATGAGGAGATTTTTTTCACGCATATTATATAAACAAAGCTACGACGCTCATAGCAGTGCAGCAGCTCCGAGCGAGCCATTCTCGATTTATTTACAAGCGAGCGCACATTTGTCGCTCCGCTGCTGGACGAGCGAATCGCGCGGACGCGGTAATTCGATCTCGTTCGATTAATGCCATTCGGAACGTCACGATGTTCAGATCGGCCAGTGCTGTTGTTGCCGTTTTAATTTTCATATTTTTATCGGTGCGAGCTGATAGCGACAATGCACCAATCGTCGAAACACCTCTAGGCAGTGTCAAAGGGTACAGAAAAATTTCACAAAACGGACGCTCCTACTCGGCGTTCGAAGGACTCCCTTACGCTTTGCCTCCAATTGGAAAACTTCGCTTTGAGGTAATCAAGTCCATAAAAGTTATAAGTGTGCAACGAAAAGATGTGTTTTCTGTGAGAAGTATTGACAATTGATTGATATGTTTAATACTATAAATTCTCGAGAATAACATCTCAAGTCGAGTCTTGTTAGCATTTGAATTGAATTTTTAACTGTAATTTTTTCAATGTTCTTCAAATTTAATGAATTTTGTGTAAAAATTTGTATTTGTACAAACCGTGTTTAATTTTTATCGTTGTCATCACTCTGTTTTTTTCGTAGCCAAAATCTCATTAATCTAAGATTAAAATTTTCGTGCGAATTCACGTCATTTCTACGAAAATATATGATAAAAGCTGCCGTGACTATTATGCAAATTAGGCATTCTGAATTTTTTCAAAATGTCATCAGTTATTGACTAAATAAGACTCTAGGGACCGCTGCTCAATGCATAATAAATAATAAATGATTTTTTATTTATTTTTTATCGGCGCGCGATATCTAATAACACACGCAGCCACCGCAATCGGTGAAAAAATGGCCTGGAATTTTACTGGCGACGAGCAAGTCCCACCCGTGCCTCCAGTATAACCATATACCGGCGCGCATGGAGGATAGCCCGATCGCAGGCTCGGAGGACTGTCTTTATCTGAATGTCTACGTGCCGCAAGTCGAGCGAGCCGGCCCCTTGCCCGTGGTCGTCTACATACATGGCGGCGCTTTCCAAATGGGCTCGGGAAATTTGTACGGGGCCAAGTACATCATGGACAAAAATGTCATCTTCGTGACGTTGAATTATCGCTTGGGACCTCTCGGTACGCGACGGCGAATAAACGAATCGTGTAAGATGATGATTTGACTTTTTTTTTCTTTTCAAGGTTTCTTGAGCACCGAAGACGGCGTGGTTCCCGGTAACATGGGTCTGAAGGATCAAAGCATGGCCCTGCGCTGGGTCCACGACAACATCAAGCACTTTGGCGGCGATCCCAAAAAAGTAACCATCATAGGTCAGAGCGCAGGAGGCGCGAGCGTTCATTATCACTACTTGTCGCCCCTTAGTTCCGGCCTCTTTCACGCAGGCATATCGATAAGCGGCACTGCTCTATTGTGCTGGGCCCAGGCGGAAGCCGCTCAAGAGAAAGCCCGAAAGCTGTCAGATTTGATGGGTTGCCCGACAGGTGACAATGCCAAAATGATCGATTGTTTGAAGAGCAGACCTGGCAACGCGATTGTGCAAGCTGTCAAAGAATTCATGGTATTTTTATCAATGACTCGTAATTCATAGGTTTGCTATCAGATGCTAAGAAAAATGACACAATTTGAATTTATTGCATAGCCGTGGCTGTACAATCCTTACACGCCGTTCGGACCAGTGGTGGAAAAGGTAGGAAACAAGCCTTTTATCAATCAACCACCTGTGGAGCTGCTCGCGAGCGGACACGTGCAAGACGTGCCGTGGATAACAAGCGTCACCAGCGAGGAGGGGCTCTATCCAGTTGCCGGTACGAAATAGCGAATGGACCTAATGTCGAATGAAATGGAAACTGAAATAATACACGCTTGTATACGTGAATACAGATTTCGCTGCCAGCGAGCAACTTCTGCAGGAGCTGGATGAAAAATGGGAAAAGCTGGCACCGCACTTGCTCGACTTTAATTACACAATTAGCCCGGATATTCACGGACAAATTTCACAAAAAATCAGAAGACATTACCTGGGAAATAACCCCATTAACAGGGATAACGTGGGTTCAATCACGCAAATGGTCGGCGACAGGCTGTTCGTGGTGGACGGCGAGAAAGCCGCGCGGATGCAGGCCAGAGTTAATAAGAGCCCGGTGCACTTTTATTACTACACCTACAGAGCCTCGGCGAGTCTCAGCGATCTGTTTACTGGAACTACCGAGGACTTGGGTGCGTTGAATTTCCCATGACGTTTCTTTCGATTACTTTAGTTTTGCTCGGATTTTCGAACGAAATTATTTTTGGAAAATTTCAACGAATTGGCTACTTAAAAATGCCTATTGATCGATTTTCGATTGTGTGTCTGGATTTGTAGGTGTCAGTCATGCCGATGATGCATTTTTATTCGTCGAAAATCCTTTTATGAAGCCAACAACTGAAGACGATTTGGCGATGAAAGACGATTTGTTGCATGTATTAGAATCTTATGCTTCAAATGGGTAAATACGTTTAAATAATTACTTAGGAACTAATAATAATTAATTAAATTATGCGTTCAAACTATCCAGGTCAAGTGGATTAGTTTCTCACTGGAATCCTGTCCGTCCTTCAGACGAAGATTTCCACTTCTTACATATTAAAGGACCATCAAATTTCGATATGGATAGTAAGAAAAATTTTGGTGAAAAATTATTTTGGAAATCTATTCATTTTGAAGAAAACGCTCTTGATTCTGCAAAAAACAGAGATGAATTATAATTGTATCTAATCAAAAGGGTAAAAAATATTTTATAAAATATTATTCAAAATGTATTTACTGATCGATAACGTTTATTTAATTACTAATGGTTATTTTTAGCTTGAATTATTAAAAAAAAAATAAATAAAATTCATTATGCAATAGGAAAAATTGTCTCAATTATAGTTTTCATCACTGTTTATCATTGTTTAATTTTATCATTAAATTTTAATGTTTAAAAAATATTTGTGTATTTTCAAGATCGTACTCCTAAACCCATAAGTGCAAAATTCACAGGATTATAAATTAACCTGCGTTACACTTCATTCAAAAATGATTAATGCAACTCGCTTTTGTTGACAACAGTCGAAAGCAGAAAACTCAATTTACATTGTAAAAAAATCAGACTTGTAAAAGTGGCTTTGTGAACAAAAATTTCTTTCAATTTTTATTGATTATTCTATTGTTCATAGAGAATGGATAGTAGAGAATAATAGATTAGGAGCATGAATGTAGCATAAAAATTTGTGAACAAAGCATTTCCAGATTGTTACATATAGCTGTGATTTTACCTTTTTATTAATTGGATGGCGCAGTATCAATTTCGACTCCTCCGAGAACTCCGCAAATTAGCCATAGTCATTTTAATTACATTTGGGCATTTGACGGTACTGAATGTCAAATCGAAAATCTCAGTGTTATTTACGTGAAACGTTTAACGTTAGTTCAGTTCAGGCGTTGCGACTACTTGGACTTGACTTAGTCGATTTAGTTGATGATAAAATTTGATATGTCAAGTTTCAATGAAAAAGTGATTACAAATGGACGATAAGTGATTTTAGCTTGATAGAAATATAAAAACGTAACCTCACCAATATTCAATTACGTGCGCAAAAAACATCTACGATCTAGTTGTACCCCTGTGGTTCAAGTCGTGATGAAGAGCATTGTGTTATGATCTTCAAAGAATTGCATATGTATAAAATCCGCTGTATAAAGGCCGCGATTGATATTCGAGAAGCTGATGCTGAACGAACATCTGAGCGACGCAAGGTTGCAGACAGCCTGCGGACTGATGGTGTCGATGCATAGGTCCGTGCAGCAGTCGCTTCGAGTCCGATCTTCTAGACTATGTTTACGTACGAAATGTTGGAAAAACTGCGGACAACGTCGAAATAATCGACGTGCGCTACAATGTGTTAGTTGAGACGTTGCATTATTTACAAAGGCAAAACATCCGGATCCGCCAAAGCCATCAGGGTTTACTCCATCGCCGACAAGTACAACCTGTCGCACTTGGAGAAGCAACTTTCCATATTAATCAAATTCAACACTCGAAATTTCATGGCTTCAAATAAAATGAAAAAGATCTCGGATCCCTTGCTGTACAATAGTAGGAAATTACACGTTGAAAGAACGAATAGCTCAATTTTCATACACTTTAAGTGCCTGTAATTATCCATACCAAATTTTTTATTGTTGTGGTTGTTTGTGTTTATGTATCTTAAATGAGGCATTTGTGTTCACTGTACTTTTTATCAGCACGTAAAATCGTTATTTTCTTGTAATAACTATAAATCAAATAGAATTATTGCTAAACAATTAAATTTAATTTTTTCAAATTATACTCATTGCTATACATATCAAAACTTATGAAATATTTTCCAATACTTAACTTATCGTTAGGAATGAACTAATTTCAAAATTGAAAAAAATATAGAGAAATTTTAATTTAAAAAATGTACTTGCGCGTTTTTCATATCAATTTTGCAGCTCAACATTTGATTGTGTAAAAAGTCTTGATAAAATTCTTTATTATTTGGGAAAATATAAGTTACCCCAATAGATGCTTCATTTCTAGGCAACATTAGATGGTTGTAGTACTGTTTTTGTTTATTAAAGAAAAGTAACCTGACGTTTTTTGAACACTACGAAGAGAGAATCCGATTTATTAAAGTATTGGAAAAATCTATTGATACTACAATGACTTGGCGAGGAGTTCGTTGTTACTTTACCGGTGTTTGGTTGATGATATTAATAAATTTACTTTTTTTGAACAACGCATTTATGTAAACTATAACGAATGAATAGCATAAACGCGAGCAGAGCAGCAGAGGGATAGAAGCAAATGAGTGGCCTTGACTTGCAGATGTGACCTGTACAAGACGGATATGTTTTGGACTGCATGAGAAATCGAACCACAAAACCACGAATCTATTCGGACAGCCGTCCAGGAGCCGTCAGCTCGCCGACGAGCACTTGACTATTGTATACTGTCCGTATTGTCACTGTTGCGCCTTAGTGTGCTGTGCTCTTCTTTTCATATAAGTTTTTGTTGTTTTCTTTCCCTATTTCTTAAATATTGAAAAATGTATCTCCGCATTAAACGCCACCAAAGTACACGCTTTTGACAATGATTTATTCTTGTGCTCGATTTTCAAAATTCAAATAAAGGATAGTTGAATAAAATGGGTTATCGAATAATGTTTCTTATACATTTCTAGTGTACTTTGTATATTATAGTTAAATAAAAAATTATTCTGCAAAAGGAATCCTTTGTTTGAATAAATTATTTATAAATCATTTATGAATTCGGGATTGTTCAAAATTCCGCTTCGATGTAATCAACGAAGTTATCATTTTATAAACAGCGCCTAAGTAATCTTACAACTCCCAGCATGGAACGATGGAAAGTAACATAGCTACAGGCTCAGTGTACGATGGCATAAAAATCATAATGGTATAAGTTGTTCATCATTATTGTCACTTGCATTTTTTATCGCTTATGAGGTTTGAATGTGTGAAAATTTTAATGAAAAGTATGCGACTTTATTTTTTTAAATAATTACATTTTAAAGAAAACAATCAGTAATAATAAATTTAGTGTATTATTAAGAGTGAGTAAATATTCGTAAATACGTACGACCTTTAACATTTAGTCAGGAGATTTAGTTAAAAAAAAAGAATTTTACCGAGAAACTATAGTACTTTCTCTCAAATTCAATTACTAAATTCACATTGTCACGTGCCCGTTTTGCCACTGAGTAAATTTAGATCCGAGAATAATTAGATGAAGGTAAAAATAGCGATACAACAGTCCACTTGGTTTTTCAAGTTTTATTTTTGAAAAATTAATTATTTAAAAGTTTATTACATACAATTTTTTCAATTTATGACGTGATACTGTATTTTTTTTTTTTACAACAACATAAAAACAATGAACAGCAGAAGTATAAAAGTTTTATTAAAATCAAGCTGAAATTGGCCAGTGCTTTTTTTGTACCGATGACTTATTTACCCCAAGAGCCAATGAATGTAGATAGGTGCATGCGAGCTCAATACCTGTTTTGATTGGACGTCGGTCGTCGTCGCGTAACTTAACGAAATGGTTTTGCGATAACAAGTAGTATACAGAGCTGCTGGGCTGCACATAAAAATTGTGCGTAAAGTGCCAGCCCACATATACCCTTTGTAGGTATTTGTTTTTCCCTGTACACATCGCCGACCGATTGTCTTTGCACAAGTCATTCTCGCGCGCGAGTCCCGCGTCACCACTGGCGTATAATAATTCTCTCTTTCTCTTCGCGAGCCGATACGTATTCCCGTATACTTAGTAACTTTTACGATCGGAACATTTTACGATTGCCCCGGAGAATTGGTTTTTCCCATAATACATTGATCCGAAGAAATGTTCTGATCCAATGCAATGCTGATGGGTTTTCCGGGTTAGGCAAGGATTCTACAAGTGACATAAGTATGAGCTTGCAAATGGGAATTATGTGTTCGGTTTGATAAATAGTCAATTATCTCTCAGCAATTTGAAACCGAAAATTAAAATTGAAAATCAAGATTAGACGATTTTAAGCTGGAGGCTTGCACGAATAATTTTCTCAGGTATAAACATTATAATCTCTCACTTTGTATCGGAAATGATTTTTCGACGCGAAAGAAAGGTATACCCGCTCCCTTCTAGTTCAATTGTACACGTTAGAAGAGAAATGGTTAATAGTCCAAATAGCTGTGCAGGCCGTAGCGTCAGAGCAACAGCAGCCGCTAGAAGCGCGGGTCACGTAGTCGTTGAACGGCTTCGTGGCTAATGTCGAGTGACGGAAACACGCGTCGCAAGCTCGTAGTCCGCAGCATTATCCGCGACAAGATCGTCCTTTTTTCTATACGATGTTACAGGTATCCGAGCAAGCTCGTGCAAGTACGTTGCACATACGTAGGCTGCCTCGTGTGCTCACGGGTGAACTTGCGACGCGGCGCAACAGATGCTCGCGAATCAGGCCACGACGTACGTAGGTACACGCGTATCACGGGGAGTAAAAAAGCTCGGCGCGAGAGCAGCTCCGCAGCAAGCGCAGGCCGGTGGCGCAACAGACAACACAAGGGGTTGGCGTCGAGCGTACATACGTGTGTGCGTGATGTGCTCCTGCCTCACTGCCTCCAGGGAAGAGAGACTATATAAAGCTTTTACCGCTCGCGGATACCAGCAGTCTTCGTTTTAAACGCCTCGTCGCAAGCTCTCTTTCTCTCTTACACTCACTCACTCTCTCTCACGCACACACGCCACTGTGCGACACGATAAACGGGGTGCTGGTGGCCCAGACGGTGCTGTAATTTGTCCTGAAACTTTGCAGAGAGTCAATCGGTTTTGACGTGCCCAAGTGATCGTCGTGATACTTCGCTGCGGGAAATCTGCATTCTCGGAACAAATCTGATTGACGATTTTTCTGCTTAAGCTGTAAATCATTCGGTAAGTACTACAAATTTATTTTCAAATTTTTTTAACTTCTCGATCGTATGAATAATCGGCTGCACGAGAAGCTTCTACGAGACAGAAAGAGAGAGCTTGAATATTTTTATTTAAATGTAAGGAGCGGCTCATTATCGATTGTTCGAATAAACGTTGATCCCCTTTTTTGATGCGCTCATGCATTATTGCGACCGCAAATAATAATAAAGAAAATATTGATTGCACAAGGGTTTATAGAGGATACGCGATTAGCTTTAAGATACTTTTTTTCTATTTCCTCGCTACGTACGATTACTTGATCTTGTCACTTTCCGCATTCGTTCCATGGAATTGTGTTTTTTTTCCATAATGAAATTTAATATTGTAACAATGAATTATTATTCATTTCAAATTGCGAGGCTCTGACGAATTTTAAAACTTTTATTTACAGTGAATTTAAAAATACCGAAAACATTTTAACTTTCAAACCATGTTCACTTTTAATAATTTTGAATAAAAGTTTTTTCATTTCAATGGATGAAATTAAAATTATTCATTTTTAATTGCAACAAAGTACTCTGACACGTGTATTATTAATTTTATAGAATTTCATTAAAAAAAATTTTACTGACACGTGTATTATTTATTTTATAGAATTTCATTAAAAAAAATTTTACTCAATTAACAAGAATTCATTTATTTTTTAACCAATGCTGAATAGCGTATCAAAATTTACGAACAATTTTCATCAGTTCCTATTGTATGAATAATAATTAGTTTATCCATAACAATTTGATTAGTTCGTCGTCATCCTAGTCAAATAGATAAAAGATTTATTTTCAATTCTTTCAAATCAAATCTTTTTCCGTTAATCATAACGATATTTTATATGATCATATGATAATTTTGATCTTTTTTTATAAAAAATAAATATTGTTCCTCTGAATCACGTATCCTCTTCAACTGTTACTTTTTTCATTGTAATTGCCTTGAGAAGTTGTTGGTTTTATTTGTTCGTTTTTAGATATTCAAAAATGGGCAGCCAGAACAAGACGTTCAATGCATCGACAATTCAACTGATCAAATGGTTCGGAGTAAGCTGTTTATTGGTATCGGTTGTGGCGTCACAAGTCCAAGAAAACTTGCATATCAACGAGCGCCACGGCAAGCCCGATATGAGCATGGGTACGTGAATAAAGAAAGATTTTATGATATAATTTCAGCATTGGTGGTGCATTAACGACCCTTATTTCTCTTACTTTTTTTCAATTTAATAATAAAAAAATGTGCAAATAATTGAATCGTACGCAAAGAAAAGCTTTGTCTTTTGCGCGTCGCGCGCGAAAATTACAGGAAACGTATGAGTTGCTCGCACGTAAAACAACGCTATGTGTACGCCTCTATATATTCGCGAGTACGTACGTGTAAAACTTGAGAACCTATGCGAATGGACAATTAAAAGTGGTAAATTCGCACTGGCATATACAGCACAAGTTCAGATTCTTGCTTTTGCATGTTATATGTTTGTGTGCGTGCGTCTGTGGGTGTGCACACGATCGTTATGCGATGTCACCAGCCGCCCCTACATCGTACGTGTGTGTACCGTGCGGGGGTTTTACGCCCAAGAGAAACCGAACTCCGTTTGTTTAATTTGTAGCTCGTCTCGCGACTAACACACGGCCACACGCGCGAACACGTACGTATGGACGAACGCGCGCACGAAGCTGCTAACAACCAATTCGAATCGAATAATTAAATAGCTCGTATGTGCGCAGGACTCGCGGGGCTCTTTTGTCGTTCGCCTTAGGTTTATATATAAACCAGGCCGATCGTTCGTATGAATTATCCTTTCGTCCCAATAAAGCGCGACGGTGGAAAAGCCTCAATTTTACACAAAATCTCTACTTGCGGTGGAGTTAATGTTACGACGAAAAGGAAGAAATCTTGGGTGACGTCAAATGGATTAAAATAACGTAATTCTCGCGGTGGCGGCGGCTGCAGCTATGCATGCGTCAGTTGCGCGCGTGGCGCGTCGGGGGAGTAGAAAAAAAAATCAACGGGATGATTCAACGAACATAAATTGAATATATGAAATCAAATAGCAGCAACGCGCCATCGGAAAGTCGTGGGCTGCGCGACAGCTTGCACAAATTTACACAATCGCGTCATTTCGCTGCGGTTTCGGATTATTAGTATGCTTTCTGATAAGATACTGTCTTGATTGGTTTTTGTACAATAAAAAGAAAAAACTTCAGCAACACAATATTTAAAACTTCAGAGTGATGGCGTTGAAAATTAATTTTGATATAACTAAAATAAAAAAGGATAACCGCGATTGCACGATTTTATGCGATTCAGCTATTCTTAACAAAATCGCATAAGGTCAAACGGCTTCATTTCGAAATTTCAAATGGCGTATAAGGATGAAAAAATATCTGCGGAAAGCTTCACTAAGGCTAATTGAAAAAAAGAAACGAGGACTCGTTAAACAAATGTCTTTTCGTATAAGATAGCGACTCCATAGTGCTCAGCGCCTACGCGTATGTCGATGATTGCGAGATAAGGCACGGTGAATTCTATTTTTCAAATGAGCCATAAAAAGTTGACGTAATTCAAAGGCCACCGTGCACGACTGTTTCCTTATTTTTCTTTCGTTTCTTTTTATTTATTCAGAATTTATAGTATATCCTCACAATTCAACGATTACTCGCGGTACTTTTGCGTGACGAGGTGTAATTTTTATCATATTCCCCGAAGAGTTTCTAACTATAAATCATAATAAACATGTGATTGGAGGGAAGTTACTTGTTACTAATTTGGAGTTTTTCCTGCACATTTCGCTGACAAAGTTCACCCTAAGAAAAGTACTTTACTTTTCAAATTATGTCAAGCAAGGAAATGTAGTATTAATTCATTTTTGATCAATAATTTCGAGAGTACCCTTTACATAACTTTTAAAATGTTTCATTTACAATCAGCACAGGCATAACATTTGTTTCGCATTAAACTCGATGTTTGCAGTTCCAACCTTTCAAATCGGCAGCAGATACGGTCGCAGTCCCCTTCCTGGAAAATCGGTTGACAGGGCCAATAGATTACTGATGATGGTACCAAGAGTAGATCGTTTCTATTTCGGTAGCCGTTACGGCAAAAGAGGGTTGTCTTCGTCATCGGCAGCGGCATCTCCGCTTGTATCGCATCAGCAGGAAGAGCAGCAACCATCGCTACACGATAGGACTACCTTTGACGACTTTTTGAATAGTTATGGTTTGACGGAGAAGCAGTTCAACGACATCAAGAGAATAGTCCAAGAGGAGCGATGGATTAATAACGAGGGTCAAGCCGAGATCAGTAATGATTTGTATCTCGATCAAATATAAGTCCACCAACCAGATATATTACATATAAATACAAATGTGAAATCGTATTACATTACCAAGTCCTTAGTTCCGAAGTTGTCGTGTCACGTGTGTATAATCACTTGCATTAAGTTTTGTTTTTTGAACGGTTGTTATGTCAAATTTCGTACTTTTTCGACTCGATATTTCTTGTGTTTTTGATCGGAAACAATTGCATTAAACGAGTTGGATTTTTTTAAGTGTATTATTCTAATTGGTTAAATAATTATACATATGCCCGAAAACGTGAAAGTTTAACTGACATATTTCTCTAATTATTTTGAATATATAAAGTAATTTAGAAATGTCATTTTTAACATCTTTTTTCAAGGCCTAACTATGATTCACTGAAATACTTTTTCATGACTATAAAAAGCAAGAATTATCATTATCGTATTTTGCTATTTTCACAGTTACCTTTATTTGTGTTAGTCTATAATAGTCATCTTGATTTTAACTTTTTGTCTATACCAGTGACTGAATTTATAGCATACCAATGATTGTTCTAGTCGAATAACTATCAATTGTGTGAATCAAACGTTTGAAGTAAAAAAAAAAAAATAAATGTTACATTTGATTATTTTGTAAGTAATGTAAGTTTTATTGAAAACCCCAGGAGTTAATGAAATAATATACATGAATAAAATAACTGAACAGGATTAAATTTTAATTTTTCATTACAATTCCTGCAAAACAAAATTTGAAATTTATTGCCGCGCGACTCCGAGGAACGATCGAGTTACGCTCACAAAAGTTGCACAATACTTTCTTTTTTCTGCATATATGTATGAAGACTTACGCTTTCGGATCTGCGACTTTTCATACACACACGCGTATGTCAAAAAAAAAGTATCGAAGCTGCGGCAGAGCGGCGGCGGCGACCGTATGTGACACGGTTGTGCATTAGTAGCATGATTCGCCATAACTAATGACAAGCCGTTTTATGCCGTAGCGCGTTGAAAATTTCTCGATTAGGGTAATAAGGATCCTTCGCTCGAACGTGATTGTATACATATACATGGCTTTATGTAACTGAAAATGTTCACGATCGAGAGAGGCCAAGAGAAAGTCGCTTCAGCGAAGAGACTCTTTACTTTTTTATTTTTTAACATTAATCATTAGCGAGCGTTCTATTTAGGTTGATAAATCTTTGAACAAAGCAAATTTTTTTTCGTTCAACGTTGTCAACTGATAAACTTTGTTGATAGCCACGTGAAAAAGAAGAAAGAAAATAAACAAATTGTAATAGCACCCGATTGTGACGTATGTGCACATATAAGGGCACTTTAATGCGCGAGTGAAAGCAACTCGAAATCTCAAAATTTTTTTATACTCTCGACAATTCTTATGGGCAAACCAATGGCGGCGCGAACACCTTTGCCGTGTCATTTCCTTGTGTACGCAGGTATAACACATTTATACTGCATAGCTTCGCAAATCCCGTGTGCGGCAGCAGCAGCAGCAGCAGCAGCAGCAGCAGAAATTATAAATTAAAATTCCGCACGCGCAAATGTTTACGTATACAACACGAGAGCTGGTGACATTTATTTCGTTACGCCGCGGCTATATAATAGAAAAGTTTTGCTATGCAGCAGCTGTATAGAGGCCCCGGTGATGTGAACTTATATTTAGCCGAGGCGATATTATATAGCGAGTGTCGGTAAAATTGTCTGATGAACAATTTTTGCATCATTATTTTCGTAAGAACACCCACGATGAGAAAATAATTGTTGCTACGATGTCTCTTGATGACAATTTGTTTAAACCATTTTTTACGAAAAACCAATTTATTTTTATACAATTCATTTCAAGACACATAGTTTAGCTTCTAGAATTGGCATGTCTTTGAAGCAAGAAACGACGCGCTTACCCCCCTTGTATGCGCTATGCATGAAATCTCAAATCAGATAGTAGCATTAAAACGTTGATTTTTCGTGAAAATCTTGGTAAGAATTAACGAGATTTCATAAAAAAATATCAAAATTTAATTTAAAAAACTAGATAAACATTGTAAATCTTGTTTTTTATATTATATTATAGGTAATTGAAAATGGAAAAATGGGGTTTTCTCACTCAATTATAAATCGGAAGATGTGCATATCAAGAAAAATCATCAAGAAAATTCGAAGAGATTCCAGGCAAAAATTTCTTGAAGAAACATCATGGCAACATCCATTTTTTCATCGTTGGTGTTCTTGTAAAGGGAGTGATGCAAAAATGATGCATTAGAAAATTGTTCCGACGACAATATCGTCCGGACTAATTATAGAAGCTCACCGTACGCGTGGTGAAAAGTGCAGAAACGCGTATATCTACGCCGGGTTTTTGCTGCATCACGCGATCGAGTATAAACGCGCTGATGCTCCTACATTAACCACACATACAGGTGCGGAGGGGTTAATGTATCGCGAGCAGCGATGATTTCACTGTGTATACTCTGCTCCCGAGGTTGTGTATGTGCGTGTAATTGCTCTACGTGATTTTTTCACGTTCGTTCGTTTACGCAAATCGTAAAGATCATTTTGGGATTAGTTTTATTTATTTTATCTTTATTCATTTTAATATTGTCGGCATTACAGGTATGCATTGGCTACGAGCTTTAGGAATTAATTAGCGTGCAGTTGAAACGGCTAATAAACGTAATGTTTTATTGCCTTGGAAAGCCTAGCCCAATGTAATATGAACAACGCGTGTCTTTTTTTTAACGAATAAATTGTTCAACTTTTCAATGTCGAATCACGCAATAGCATACAACCAGCGGGAAATATATGTATAACGCATATCGGGAAAGCCCACCCCGTGTCTCGCGCATTGCGTTTCAAAGCTCCATTTGCGGCCCCACGCGCGCATACTTGCGCAGGTGAGGCGCGTGAAAATAATTGACGAGCCCGCCAGTCCAGCATTTATATATAAATATCTATATGCTGTGTACTCGAGGCGAGCACAATACAAGACGCGCCGCGCACCGCTCGCCAAGAACAAAATGTGCATTATTATAGCCTATAACTGCACCGAGGCAGTGAACATTATACGCGTGTCTGCGCGCATGTGTTGTTATACGTGTGCAGCCAATTAGAAAATTCCCGAAGCGTATCATTCACTTTCGCTAATGAAAATGAGGCGCGTCACCGTGGCCGCTGCGTTTAATCGCGCGTATAATGCAAAATGTGCCTCATAATTGTTTCTTTTTCCTTTTTTCTTTTTCTTCTATAAATTGTCAAAATTAACCAACTGCCGCCTCGACTTTCTTGGCGGGTACCAACGATTGATATGCTGTTTTCGCGCGCGCGCTGCTTTGCTCCGCGTGCTCATAGGTGTGTTTATTCACAATTTGGCCTTGCTGACAGGTGAACGATCAATAAAAATATGCTCCCTGGATGACATAATTTTCTCGCGCTCTAAACGGCGAGAAAGTTATTTTGATTCGTTTTTAATATCTTTTATATGACTGTGCACGGCTGTTAGAGCCTATTTTTTGCTTTTTCTTCTTCTTCTTTGTGATAATACGACCGAACTTGCGAACAACACATACACACATGGATCTCTCGTGGGCATAATCGCTGATATATATATACATCATTTACGTAATCGTTGACACATACGCTTGTATACAGATGAATAGTTGCGCGATGTAATGATCGGGGAATTTACTTGAATATTCAAAAGTAAAAGTTTAACGCGCGAGATTTTGAGATATACCTCTCGGGTCTCAACGCGGGTTTTACTAATGAGCATCATCGTTTTGTAAATGTTTTTTTTTCACCTACACGTTAAAAATCGTTATGTTGTAATCCGGGCCTCTACCATGTGTTTATGTCTGTGTGTGTACACGAACTGGTTAACGGGGGATTTAATTAATTATGTGAAGTATACTCAGTACTGCGGGCAATCGACAGTGATAGACAAAGGAGTTTTTGAATATATATTTGTTTTCCTCCGAATTCAAGGTCAATGGATCGTGTCGAGTGGCCATTTAAAAATTTAAAGCCTCGCGCATTTTCAAGCGTAATAAGGCATGCATTGTTTTCGAGCTGTACATTTATCGAAATAGCCTGAATTCCAGCTCGCGCATTTTTCAAGTGAAAAGATCAGCGCCAGTGGTCGTGTGGCGGTGCTGTTGCCGCTGCATTCGCAGGCAAATTTCCGAAAGCTCGTTCTCGGTCTATTCACTTTTATAAAAATGTTATTTAAAATAATAATAAAGAGGAAAAATTTGTTTTTATGATCAAGCTTGTTTTTGGTCTCTGGCGCGCTCGCTGACTCGCGGTACATAATGCGAGCTCGCGATACACACACAAAGCTTTCTCCTTAGCCTCTCGCGAGAAAGCAATAAACATACAGGGCTTTTATACATTGCTGAATACATATTTGCTACTGCCTGGCCTCTCGTCTCGTAGTAGTAGCAGTGGTAGTAGTAGTAGTAGTAGTTGTAGTTGTAGTAGTAGCAGCTCGTTGTCGTAGAGGCCCGGTAGAAATCACGTACAATGTGTATTATTTCAATAAGTACATTCTCTCTTGAACAAGCCGCGAGTTGCTGCTGCTGTTGCTGCGGGGGGCCCTTCAGAACAATGGGCCTCGCGCTTGCGATCGTACCGCAAACGTGTACAAAAATCCTTTACCCATATTCACGTAAATGAGTGATTTTTCAAAGATTTATCAGCAAATGAGAATTTATAGTGTAATATGTTGCAGATCCTGACCGAATGTATTAAATACGAAGCTCGTAAGATAGCGTTGACTGTCAATTGAAATCTCAGCTTGTGCGAGTGCGTACAGAGGCGCTTACACTCTCGTGGCCAGGAAGTTATATGCACGTACTACAGGGGTATACATAAACACGTTGTTGCATCAAGCTGCTTCGTTCGTTCCTTAATATAATGCAAGTGTTGGTCGTTACGCCGCTCGCGAGCTCTCTCGGAGCTTATATAGCGATCGAGACTCGCATCCTAATATTTATGCGCCACGTAAATCGCCATTAGCTAATATAATATACGTAGAGGCAGAGAGAAAGAGAGGGAGTTAGCATCTCTCTCAAAGTTCGGATAACATTTTAATATGCGCGAGAGTGTGATTAATACGTGACGCTTACGCTGCCAAACGTGCGGACGTATATCGTCAGTGTGTGTGTGTGTGTGTGTGTACTTATAAAGTCGAGATCGCTCGGAGAGCAGCAGAGAAAGTACTTATATACGTTTATGCGCGATGTATGCATCCCCCGTGCGATCAACATTTTTGCGCGTGTGTGTTTTTTTTCGTGATTGTATATAATTTGCTCCGATTGTGATGTAACTGCATACGTCACTCTGCCGGATTAAATATTAGATACAGCAACCAGAGTTTACTCGTTTTATTTGATTATTTATGCTCTCTCTCTCTCTCTCTGTTTCTCGAATTATTTTCCAACACCTTACAGCGTTTATAAATCTCGGAATTTGCACAGACTCGAGTAGATTTTACTCTCGTTTTCTTTTGTCGAGCTTGCCCATACGTGAAAAAAGAGTAATTTTCGCGTGTTCAAACAATTTACAGACTCTAACATCGCTGAAATACGTGTAGGCTCGTCTTGTCGGACACAAGACGCGAAGAAATTATAAAAGCGCTTTCTTGTATTTC